CTGTTGCAGATCCTGTCGACTATGAGCGGTATAAGGCGGCCATCTTAGGTCGGCGGCAAGAGCTTCGCGTCTCCGCAGAAGGTCATGGCCAGTCCCGTCGAGTTGTTGGTTTGTGTTAGCCCGTAGAAACCCAAGACGAGCGACTCGATGAATGATGCAAGTCTCAGGGATCTATCCCTAGATCTAGGGGCTTCCTACCTCTATCAGATATTTGGTGCCTTTCTATAAGATGCATAGGGATTCTTCATGCGTTGCTTTTAGATTCAGAAAGACTGAACAACAGAGCGAACTACCTCTACACTATTGTTAGAGGAGAATTTGCCTGAATAACGAGTCCGCCACAGCAGACCAGTGGTTCAAAAGGTCGCGGGTTCGATCACGGCCGCGGCAGTCGCATTTAGATGGATGCAAAATGGTAGACACCCGAGTACAATGTCTATGGCGTTCCACATTTCAAAAGGTAATGCTCGGCGACGTTCGATTAATTGTATTCTGAGGTGTGTTACCGTGCACACGGTTATAAGCGGCCTAAAATGGTGACAGCATCACTTTTGTGAAGCTTCATTCGATTTCACGAAAAAACAAAAAAAACCGCCAGTGGTGGTCTAGTAGCTAAGGCACTCGGCTGCTGACCCGCAGGTCGCAGGATCAAATCCCAGCCGCGGCCGCATATTCGATTGAGGCGGAAATGCTTCAGGCCCGCGTGTGCTTAGATTTAGGTGCACGTTAACGAAATTCACGGAGCCCTCCTCCACGGCATCTCTCATAATCACATCATGGTTTTGGGACGTTAGACCACAACAATTATTATTATTATTATATATTGTTGCGCGTTCTTCATGCCTTCCGCTGCTTTCGTTCATCGTCCTCTATCACCGCTCTCGTTACTCTTCAAGGTGGTGCGGACCGACGTGCCTGTGGGAAATCCGTTCCCATTCACGATTACCAGCTTCGGGGCGAATGTATCGGCTCGAGAGACTCATTTGAAACCATCGCTACACTTAGCGTTCCTGATGGATTATCGGAAGTCAGCGCCCTCTTCTGTAGTTCCGTGGATGGCCCTTCCACTACCTACATTTTCAACCGTGTCATCGACGAAGGCCTGAACCCACAACAGAGGTGTAGAGCTTTTGAGCCTCCTTGACAAATTTCGGCCATCTTTTGACAGTCACAGCGCTACTTCAGGTCGAACACCTACTGTATGCGTCCATACGCCCGTCCGTGCGTAGCGTATGTTCGTGCTTCCGCACGTCCATCGTGCCTCCATCACTGCGTTCGTCCATGCATCCGCCCCCGAGTCTGTCCACGCGTCCATCCGTCCATGCGTCCGTTCATGCATCTGATTGTGTGTCCGTTCGTCCATCTAGCCAACACTCCGAGTACCACCATCTCGCATCTTTTCATCATATATTCCTCATATAGAAGCACCGCCATCCAGCGGATATTCCAAGGACTAAACGAGAGGTGGCAAACGCGCACTTTCTTACGGCTTGCGCTTCGTGTCTACTTCCCACCTTTAACCACCCCGAGTTCATGGTATATACTAGCTCACTCTGTTCATGGCACTGCGGTCCAACGCTCGCTAAACCTTTCTAAAACCAAGGAGGGTACGCCCAGCGAGTATAACCTAGCAACCCTTTCTTGTCAGATAGTGCTCAACGTACATGCCAATGTCTGCTAATTGGGAATGAGAGACAGGAGAATTCGGCTTTTAGTTAAAGCGCACGCTGCAATTTTTTATTGTTCCAACAACGCACAGGAGAAATCTCCCACTGGCACCACCTTGCAGGTCAAAGCATAAGACTGGTTACGCACTACGACGAGGGACGAATGGGTGCCGCTTTAAGGAGCTTCGCCCCTAAAAGAGTTGGTGATGAGCTCTCGGAGGAGGAAGACGTTTCCTTCGGCGCTCTGCGCGCCCCGTCGTATGATGGCTTTCCGGCGTGCTTTAGACGCTTCTTCTTCTTCTACGTCGGTGCTGGGGTCGCCAAGACGCAACACAACAATGGTGACGATATTAAGAACCCCGTGTCTTCATAAGCGGTTCTTCTGTCAGCCTCAATGTTGCATTTCTGCTGCGACGCTACTTTGGAGTTTTGCGCCTACATCACGATGTAAGATACAAAAAAAAAAAAAATCTTGCACCGTGGCCTACGCTGGTCTTCGTTCTGCCTAGTGGCCACGTCGCGCCGTTCCTACCCTGGACTATACGGACACTTCTGCGTTGGCGTTTCGCGTTTCTACCATTCACTTCGGAAACGCCCTCAGTGACGACATTTTATCGAGAGGAGGAGGATAAGAGAGCGTTGATAAGCGGCTCTGCTGCAGGAAAGCGCTGCCATGAAACAAAGTACGTAGAATGACGGTAGATAACGGCGAGGGAGACTGTGTGGTCACTGAGGGCGGTGACAGTGCCGGGACTGAGGGGGGTCCAATCGAACGTTCATGCCAAGTGGGGTTGGAGAAGCGCTTTATTCGTTATATCAGGTATTCGATATGAGCATACAAGCCCACATCGACGGATCGGCATAGTGAACAGGTTTGTGCGAATATTGCGGAAGCACCGTGCATCCGACGGGACAGATTAGCGCGTCCTCCAGGTTTCCACAGATCGTCGTTTTGCCATGCCAATATGACTGTCACGGACGGCCATTTTTGGCGACACCGCATCACGGCAATTAACGGGCACCGTACTCCCCGACTGACCGTGAGAACGGCGGCGCATGAAAGGGAGCCGAGAAGTGCAGAATGGGGTGCTCTTCTTAGAACGTCGCCGCCGACGTTTGATCCTTTTGTAACTGTGGCGGCGTCTGCAAGGTCGTAGAAGGCCGCGGTATCCCCGAACAAGGATTAGACTACAAGACACACTGGCTGAGAGCCAAACCTTTGACCGTTCCCACGGGGAAAAGCGTGGGAAACGCTCTGGTGGCCGAGCCGTATGACAACAACCCGACAGGTTGTCACTCTCGCTAGTTGCGGGCCCTCTCCCAATTAAAAAGGGGTGCGGTCAAAATATTTTTGGGGCGGAGTTTCCATCAATGAAACGCGCATGATTGGACCCAGGTAGAGGTCTCTTGTCCCCAAGGAAGAGAGCGAGGAGACACGAGGGGGATTTAAGCGCAGGATTTTGCCCTGCTAGGCAGACTAGTCACTGACCAACATGGTGTAGAAACAGATCAACAAGCATCTCTTCTAGAAGTTTTTAGTGTGGCTCTGTATCGGCTGGCCACCTACACTTAGCCGTTCGTCTAGTTGTGACGCGATATTAACGTCTGCAACGTAGACATCGGGACTTCGCCTCGAGTTAGTTCAACCTGCTCGAAGTCACCTGCAAGCACTAGCCTCCCGGAGCCACCAGCGTTGCAACACCGCCGACATCGCAGTCGTGCCAGAACTCTCTTCGACTTCTCGCATCCGATCGTCGGGGACGCAACGCTGCCGGTCATCACACGTATGCCTTCACCTGTTTATATCTTCGAACTTTCTACTCCGTAGTTCTATTGTTGTTAGTTTGTGTAGCTTGTAATAGTTCTCTCTCGTAAGCTGGTTTATTGTTTTGGCTTTATATATTTTTTAGTTGTATCAAGTGTTGATGTATTTTGTTAGTTGTATTGAAGTGTTGTATTAGATCCCGTGTGCTGCAATATCACTAGAGTAAAGTTGTTTTGTTTTCTCACGTCTCTGATCTCTTCACTGTCTCTGCTTGCGAACGGAACGAACCAACCTGCTGTCATTCCCGTCGCCGACTTCGCGCTGGCGACGCTAGAGTGGCAGCTTGTAACAATGACTAACACGAACAATTTGCTCCATTCTCCGTATTCGTGCCAAATAACGTAGACTTGCTGATAGTTAATATCGAAAAAAGCCAAGCCGACCAAAATTTGCATCCTTTCATTTTTTTTTCAAACTCAAGGGTAGCACATGGATTCGTGCTCGAGCACATTCACCTGGTGTATTTCCATACCTTAAAGAGCTGGACAAAAAAGTTGCATCTCCAGCTGGAGTATGAAAGCAGGAATTTTCCAGTTGGAATGACTGAGGGCTTCGTAAATATCCAGCTGGAATTTCTTCAGTTTTTGGCTGCAATTCAGCCACATTCCAGCTAGGTAATCATGGACTTTGAGAGAAAATACAATGCAATATAGCAAATTTCTCGAACTCGAAATCTTTCCAGCTGAAAAAATTCCATAACCCAGCAGGAAATGAAACTTTTTTTTCTTAGGGAGATGATGTAGGAAAGAGGGGCAGCTTAACGTTACGAGCTTGGTGAAATTTTGTTCAGATTGATGCACGCGCTCCCAGGTGGCACTACGCAAACGGGGCCACGAACCATTGAAAGTGCTTGAAAAATTGTTGAAAAATTATAACCGGAAACCGTGTCAGTGCATTTCGTGCTTTTCCTGCGCTGCTTTTTGAAAGGTGTAGTGCTGCCGTGCCTCTCAGCTGGCCTCTCTCATATTTTTTTCTCTCCCTTTTTTTCGACAGACGGCTCGGGCAGTCCGGCAATATTGTAGGCACTGTCATAGCTGGCCGCAAGGTTCCCCTTCAGCCGGAGTGGAGGGTGGGCGAAAGTTCATCGCAGTGCCTCGCCCCCCTTTATTAAGTCATGTTAAAATATGGGACAGGCTTTGCGCCCCCAACCGCCTTCAGGTGACCAGCATGAAAAGGCGCACCCTATCACCCTGCGTGGCTCTTTGGTGAGCCTTTATGTAGAAGCGTATTGGCAAAGCCTGGGGCGAAAATGAGAAGGTTTCTTTTGGAAGTTTCCAAAAACTATTTCTCATCGATTGTGTGTATACATACTATACGCACGCGCACACACACACACACAGATGGAGGCATTCAAATACTTCCCACTGTATTAAAGTCCTGCCTTTGTTCCTATTGGAACAATATAGCTATATATGTATCTACGGGTTCCAGTCTAGAGGCAAACACCACCGCAACGTGTCCGTCACAATGCAATACTTTGATAAAGTGCAAGACAGACTCTCAATATGTGGAACGGGCGGTAGGTGTGGCTGACATCCATTATCCAGTGACATTTATTACCGTAACACCCACAGTAGTAGCAGACACAGTGGCACCACAATGCTACAAGTCTCTCCAATCACTTTAAAAGTTAACAACGAACACAATTTCATCGTCACACAAGGTGTAACAGTACAAAGTAGAAACCAACAGTAGTTTCAAAAAGAGAATTAAAAACATTGCTATTGTATACTATGAGGCCACAATGTTTGTCATGGGACTGGCACAAATAAATGGTATAAACTCGCACGAACATGTACGATTAATGTTAATTTTAATGATCGTGGTACTGAAGAAAGGCCACTCAACGTTACAGCACATTGCAGTTTACAGTCTGTTCACTTAAAACTAATGTTCGCACACAAGAGGAACACTAGTGCTTAAGTACAGAATGTTCACGTCAGCTGTAGAAGCTATAACATTGTCGTGACTATGCTTACACGGTGACCGCGTACAGCATGACAGTGCATATCTGCTTGGCTTTGTTGTCACTACACCAAAATGTTCTGCAGTCAGCAGTGCACCTGTTGTGCACCCTCAAAAATGTACGATGCACCATGGCAGCACAACACTGCCACAAACAACAGCACAAATATGCATAGATATAGTTAAAAAATAACTCATATACTTCCTCGCATTTCTAAATTTGCCTGAGTTTTATAGTTGTAACCATGGGCATCAGCAGGGGGGTTGCAGAAGGGGCACTTGCCCTCACCCAAGCTACAAAAGTGCTCTCTTTCTCTCCCAAACGCGATGCAACACTAGTCGCAACCTCCACGAGAAAATCCTCCCGGCGACCATGGTTGTACCTCATACATAACGGCTCCGTCCAACATGAAAGTATCTTTGCTGGATTCAATGATTGTCGCAATTATACATTAACTGGTTACATGTTGATGTCCGACGGAGCACATTCCATCTACATTTGATTTATTCGTCATATTCATTTTCGTTATGTCAGGGTTTAAGTGTACAGTGGCATAAATCAGGCTCTAAATCATACATTCATAAACGCACTGTGCCTATCGACCAGCCACAGGATCCTTACAAGTCACTTACCAATGACAACTGTGCCCAACGGACTACTTCCTTGACTTTTGGTCAAGCTTCGACACGCACTAACAGTACATCAATATCACAGAAATGGAACAGACCGCTGCAGTTCCATCGCTTCCCTGCAGAACTTTACATGGCAACTTTTTTTTTTCCCCTCAGTGCCAGAAAATCACACTTTAGCGGGAGGAGATAGGTGCTGAGCAGACTGACTGCCGAGTGATTCCCGTCTATCTAGCCCAGCTCCTTGGTCTCGCGATGGATGGAACGAAGCTGCTCGACTCCAGGCCCATTCATCTTTGAATACCTGCAAAGAAGCATATAAAGCGAATGCAGTGGAAGATTAAAGGATTACTGACACAAATTTGAAATATCTTCAGATGGGTGCTTTAAATGAAAATGCTGGTGTCCCTAAAGAGATCATTGTGGCAACTGAGAATTAATCGAATATATTTTTAATACGACTACATGAAACCAACACTTTCTGTTTCAATGACAAGGGGGCATCTTCTCAGTGACATGTAATTACAGTGCGATGTCACGGAGAGACAACAACTCGTGGCAAACTAGCGACAGAGCTGTCGCCTGCTCGTAACGCACTGCAAGCAACCACGAGTGGATTGTTGTCCACAGACACCGACAGTGATTTCTGTGATGTAGGCTGCATGCAAGACACAGAGCTCGCAAACTCAATTGAAGAGTGTTGACTCATGATAAAGTCTTCTTCAATGGGGCCGATGTACAGATGACCAGCGACAAGAACTATGGGTCTGCACTGATTGTGGTTGCAATGCATAGAACTGAAAAGTTATGATGAAAGTAAAGGTTCCTACGATAACAAACAAAACAAAGGATAGACATGAAACACTAACCTGGACAGTCAGCTCTGGCACCAGACCCGAGAGGCGATCCACGATGTGTGCCAGAACAAGCTGCTCATTTGCATCTCTCCGGACACGAACGTGAACCGAGCCAGCCTTCAAGCAGAGAACATGCCAAGCGACAAGCTCAATCGTGTGACTCTTCATTCGTTAAAGACCCAGAGCAAAATCTGTAATGAGCAGGTACATCATCCGTCGCCAAGCTGAGCTAGTTTTCTCCAGCTCCTTTTGGAGCAAGTTCCTTTCATTGACAAAGTGAGGGTGTATGTGGCGCCATCCTTCACACACTGACAAGCTGTGGTGTATGTGGCGCCATCCTTCAGAGGTACGCGCACTGTGTGCCTCGTTAGTTTTGTGCGTGTCTTCCTACAGATGTCGTTACGGTGTGTTGTGCGAATAAACGGCCGCTGGTCAGCCGAGTCGTGCTTTGGGTTTCGAAATGAACGGTTCTCTCTCTCTCTCTGCTTCCGTGGTGTTAGGCACAGCGCGAAGGCCGCTTGGCAATGCCCCCAGTCTTGCCTAGCTTGGCTGCGTCTACGTACGGGTTCTCGACGGCTGTTTGCCGCCCCGCTACCGACACAACGACACTACAGAAGCCAAGCGTTCCAATGGACTTAGTGACGAAGACCACCGCGGAATAAATTTTTCTACTCGCGGTCGAGCATGTCGTATTTTGACTTTGAAACACCGGGCACCGCGGCCATGCACATCGCAGCTGCTGTTTCTGCTCGAAGTCGTAGCTAGGCCTATCCCGAACTTGGCAGGCAAGACCGTCGCTCTAGCTGGTATGTGAAAGCGAAGAAGCCGTAATGTGCTTCATCTCAAGCAACGAATCAGATCGGCCGCTGATTCCTCCTTAGAACTGCGAATAGGCATCTTGCGCATCGGTGGCGAACCACGACCAAGCTCGCCACGCACCAATTGCTCAGAACAGCGGTGGTTGCGGCCAGCAATTTCACGCGTCAGCGCCCCAACACGCAAAATCAAGCACACTGCGCGCCGATTTCTCGTCACCGAAGCTTGATGTAATTAATCATTAACAGACTGCATATCGGCGGCCTACTTTCTTAAATCAGTATGCCGATATCCACACCGCTATTCCAGTCCCAGTATGCCACACGATGTTTGAAGTCGGAAGTTCTAGAATTTAGGATATCCACGGCAGAAAAGTCCCCTGTAAAAAAGTCCTGACCACGTTGCAGGCCTCAAATTTTAGTCAATTATATACGAACGTCCGTTGTACCAGAATTCGTAGTAAACAAAGATCAACCAATGAAACAAATAGTGAGGTCGGCATAATGCCAGTATGCAATATCCAAACGTCTGTTGTAAGCAGATCTGTCGTAACGAGGTTATACTGTATCTCATTTTAAATACTAACAAATATTTACAAGTTCTTCTTTAAACAAGGCAAAGAGATTGTGTTCACAGAATAAAGCTTCCAATACCAACCAGTGTGCCAAAAGCAAGTGTCCAGAAGAGCTCGTGCCTAAACTCCAGCACACCATCCAAGGTAGACGCCTCCCGAAGACACTTGTCTAGCTGGCCCAGCAAGTGACGTGGCGTCGTCTGCGCACACAGCGCATAAATTTTGCCACAGGTAAAGGCACATGTAAAGCCCGACGTAACACGATAGTAGGTAACAATGGATGGTACATGTTGCATAATGCCGGCAAAAAGTTAACGCACCACAGTCTAGTGTAAAGGAGCAATCAGTCTGACTAGTGGCATACGCCTCGTTCAGACAACACTGGTGCAATAACAAAACACGGCTTATTTGACACTGAAGCCGCTAGAAGAGAATACATTACATGCTAGTTTGGACTGCCAGCAATAGTGCAAAAGCAGTGCAAATTGCTGCCTACAGTTCAGAGGCAGCACGCAATTTGCACCTACTTTGTACCTTTACCAGGCATTAAAAAAAAAAGCCAAACAAATGTGCATATACACAATAAGAGCTGATCATCGCACTAGGGCCAGTCATATATTATGTGCCAAACAACACATGCTGCAATTTTTTGGTAATCCTGGCATCCCAAACTGCTACCTGGTACAATGTAAAATGTTGAACTGTACTGAGGCCTTAACTTAAAGCATAACCTTTAAGTAAAAAGTGAAGCCTTCTACATTGCAGAATTCCATTCCTAATTGGCTTACTCCTTAAAGAATGGTCGTGTCGTAAAAGGGCAGGGCTATACAAAAGCAATGTGAAGTGAGCATAGGAGGTGATGTGGCTTGGCTCTGTAGCTGGAGTGCCAATTAGCATTTCTACACCAATAAAATACATATGCAGGATATACGTAGAACAAAAATATACAGAGCATACTCCACGAATAGCTCGCATTGTCATGCTACGATCAAATGGCTACCGTACTTGTTGCGGTACAGCTACGCCAGAGCAGTACAAAATGCACTTATAAGTAACCAGTACACACAACTACTGTGTAGATTCTAATACTCTATGGAGAAAGCAACTGGCTTGATCTTCGCTTCAATGAAAGGAATGCCTAGAGGGAGACATTACAACAGCTGGTTGGGCCTCAACATCACATTGGAGAGTATCGACAACATACAAAGGTACATTTATGTTCATCCCAGCAGCACTGTTGCCAAGAAATTTTTGCTTTGGGCAAAGCTATCTGCCACTTCAGCTATTCACTTAGGCTAACTGCAGTCAACTCCACAAACAATACAATGAACTATCGTTAAGACGAACTTGCTTAAGACCAAATCTTACTTGTGTCGAACAAGATGGGAACGTTCTTTTGTTTCCTTTAGACTAGATGCAAAAAAAAAAATCCACACCTAAGGCACTGCCATCATCATCGACGGAGGTTGGGAAGGGACAGTGGTTAATCCCCTCTTCCCACACCTCACAAAAGAACACTGCCAGACTTCAAAGTTTATTCATTTATTTATTCATAAGATGAGCTGCCTAACAGGTACTCTAATATTGAGACAAACTTTTACGGTGACCGAAGACGTTGTCCATTCTACACAACGAACATTGCAATTTCGGCGAGACGTTCAGGTGAACGAGAAAAAGCAAAATAGAAGAAAAAGTGCGTTTTGATGCAAAGACACAAAGCAAATTAAGACGCAGATGGAGGGAACGAGATAAGCAAAACAGAAAGGCCAATGGATAAACCTCGTATCTACTTCACCCCAGCCTGTAAATGTGGATTGTGCCACCTTTGTCAAAAAAAAAAAAAAAAAACTGGTGGATTTACTGAGAACCCCAAGCCATTGTACCCTTTTGTATTCTCCAAACATTTCTTTGTTCTTCGATTCCCCAGCTAGCGTACAGTAAATAAGGGAAGAACAGAAAAGCTTTAAGCTTCCTACAAGTCTACCTCCTTGACCATGGACAGAAAGGCAAACATGAAAGGAGTGGAAAAAAAAAAAAGACGTACGAAAGGCACAACAGGAACGAAAATTGCCTGTGCATTAGAATTGAGTATGAAACCAACAGAACATTCATGATACTAGCACTCTAGTGAGAGAGGTCAGATGCATTGTCATTGTCGTAACACAACGGTAGCCTAGCACACCTTGTGGTCAGTTCACTTTGATTGGCGCAGCAGCTGAGCATGCCTTATCTGTTCTCGATGAAGTGCAATTTGTGATGCGTGATTTCCATTATGAAAGCACACGACAAAAAAAGCTTATTTCGCACAATGAACATACCATATTTACTCGATTCTACAGCGCCCTCGATTGTAACGCGCACCCGATTTCCACGACGAAAAAAAAAAAAAAAAACGTAAGACATCGATTGCAACACGCACTGCACCCATTTATCTCGCTGGCCCGCACGATCACACCACTCGAAAAAAACGACTCCTTTCGGGAGCGTCTTCCATTTAAATATGAGGTACGGGCGAAGCTTGTGCCTATCTGACGTGTAACAGAGCATTGCCGTCACTGTAGTTTTACCGTGGACCGATGTCAGCACGCGAACTTGCTTCGCCCCGTTTCCTCGACGGTTGTGGTGCCAGGCATGTCGAAGTAAAGAGGCGTCCGATCGGCATTCCCGATTTGCCCAAGCAGGTAGCCGTTGTTGTGCCGCAAGTTTAGGACGAACCTCTGAAAACTGTGAAGCTTTTCATCGTACTCCTCCGCAAAAGTTTTCGCATATGCCCGTTCCCCTTCGGAGGGAAAAGCCTTTCCTCTTTATAAAGTTAGTTAGCCAGCGCCTGCTCGCTTTAAACTGGCTCCGCCTTAGACCTTTTTTTTAAGGCTATTTGCATAGCCCCCACTTGGAGCAGTTCTGTCGTCACGGGCCGCTGTGCCGCTCGCTGCTCAAGCACATACTCGCCGAGCAGCTCTTTAATTTGCGGAAACCGACCCTGCTGTGGTCCACTGAAGCCTTTGCGTGAAGCTTTGCTGTCGACAATCTTCTCCTTTTGTTTCCGCCAGTCCCGCACACACGTTTCGGGAACTCCGAACGACCGCAATGCGGCCCGATTTCCATCCGTTTCTGCACATGCGATGACTTTTCTTTTAAAAGCGGCATCGTGGTGTACAAGAGTTTTTGGAGTCCGCCCTTCCATGCCGTCGATGCTAATGCACTACAAGATGACGAACTCCTCAGCACACGTACGAAGTGCCGCACATGGGAAACACATAGGCAGAAATGGCCGACGCGCCATGCCGACGCACATAGGGGGCGGCCATTTTGGAAGTGCCGATGGCAATAGAATGACCATATTCATTTTTTTTTTTTCGTACTCGATTCTAACGCGGATGCGATTTATGAACTCGCTTAACCGAAAAAAAGGTGTGCGTTAGATTCAAGTAATTACGGTAGCTGCGATACATATTCTTCAAGTTCCTTAATCTTTAGATCGTCAGTAGTGCTATGAGATATCTTTAGCTGCATATTGATAAGAAAAAGTTACTACAGGCTGAAAATGAGAAAATATCCAGACCTCTAAGAAAAGTTTCCAGGCTCGGCATATATTGACATTATCAAGGTAACAGCATGCATTCAAAGTGTATACAAAAGTGATGTTGGAGCCAAATAAGCAGCCTCGCAGAAAAAAATCAACTACAAGAAAAACATATTTTCTATTCTTTGAAAGAAAATTGAGCTTGCCTCTCCCTTTTTTCTCTTTCCAATCGTCAACACAAAAAAACGCTCAAGTTTCTTGTTAAAATGTGGTAACAATACATTCATGAGCATATTTATTTTGAACGTATCGGGTGCTTGTGAGATTTGTGCAACCACTCAGGCAAGTTGAGCCACATAAATGCTTTTTGTTGTCATTTCTACCAAACAGTAAATCCACTCCGTTCAGTGCTTTGAAGTGATATATTGGCAGATGTGTTTAAAATGTAACTGTGTTTTTTGAGGGGACACTTCTTTTAATATAACTTCTGATAACACAAGCAACTGTAAAAGGGCAAAAACTATAGCTTGTTGGCAAGGCTTCATCGCAAAAGAACAGAGGGGACACGTGGGACAAGACTCGATGCAAAGTCCGGTTGTCTCGTCCCATGTACCCGCACTATTTTTTTACGATGTAGTCAAGCAACTGCCCACGATAATCAGACAAGATTGTTTATTCATGACCCTCTCAATTCACTGTTTAACACGCAAGACCTAGGCAGTGAGGGCGAGCCACTGCCATTTACCTGAAGCAAAACGCAGGCGCAGTGGATGCTCACTGGTAACATTGTAGCACAGCACATGATGGCAAGAAGAACAGCTATCACCGTGTCCGCATGCTGCCAGCCACTGCATCACAATGAATACGTATTAGTTCAAGGGCCCTTTCAAAATGACCTGCTACAAATGTCTGATAGAGCAATAAAAATTAACAGGGCGCATAGTCACACTTTCTACTAAGAAATACCGTATTTACTCGCATAATCAGCGCACTCGCATACCGTAATTACTCGAATCTAACGCGCACCTTTTTTCCGGTTAAGCGAGTTTATAAATCGCATGCGCGTTAGAATCGAGTACAAACAAAAAATTACGGTCAATCTATTGCCATCGCAAATCCAAAATGGCCGCCCCTTACGTGCGTCGGTATGGTGCGTCGGCTATTTCTGCCTATGTGTTTACCATGTGCGGCACTTCGTACGTGTGCTGAGGAGTTCGTCATCTAGTAGTGCATTAGCATCGACGACGTGAAAGGGCCGACTCCAAAAACTCAAGTGCACCACGATGCCGCTTTTAAAAGAAAAGTCATCGCGTGTGCAGAAACGGACGGAAGTCTGGCCGCATTGCGGTCGTTCCCGAAACGTGCGTGCGGGACCGGCGGAAACAAAAGCAGAAGATTGTCGACAGCAAAGCTTCACGCAAAGGCTTCAGTGAACCACAGCAGGGTCGGTTTCCGCAAATTGAAGAGCTGCTCCGCGAGTATGTGCTTGAGGAGCGAGCGGCACAGCAGCCCGTGACGACAAAACTGCTCCAAGTGCGGGCTATGCAATTAGTCTTAGAAAAAAGTCTAATGCGGAGCCAGTTTAAAGCGAGCAGGTGCTGGCTAATTAACTATATGAAGAGGAAAGGCTCTTCCCTTCGAAGGGGAACATGCATATGCGAAAACTTTTGCGGAGAAGTACGATGAAAAGCTTTACAGTTTTCAAAGGTTCGTCCTAAACTTGCGGCGCAACAACGGCTACTTGCTTGGGCAAATCTGGAATGCGGATCAGACGCCTCTTTACTTCAACATGTCTGGCACCACAACTGTCGAGAAGAAGGGGTCAAAGCAAGTTCGCGTGCTGACATCGGTCCACGGTAAAACTACAGTGACGGCAATGCTCTGTTACACGTCAGATGGGCACAAGCTTCGCCCGTACCTCATATTTAGATGGAAGACAATCCCGAAAGGAATCGTTTTTTCGAGTGGTGTGATCGTGCGGGCCAGCGAAAAAAAAATGGGTGCGCGTTGCAATCGATGTCTTACGTTTTTTTTTTTCGCGGTGGAAATCGGGTGCGCGTTACAATCGAGGGCGCGGTAGAATCGAGTAAATACGGTAATAGGCGCACCCCTAGTTTGGTCGCGGAAAATTCGATTTTTTTTTAATTCCGCGCATAATAGGCGCACCCCGAACTTGGCCGTGATCAGAAACGATTCTACCCCCCAGCGGTACAGTTGGAACGCGGTCCCCGTACCCTGAAGAAAAAAAGAAGGCAAATCGACGAGCAAATAAAAAAAATTCGAAGTGCAACGACCTAACCAACGTGTTTGTCGAAATAAAACTTGAAAAAAAAAAAAAGCATCCATGAGCGAAAAAAAAAAACGGCTGTTTCATCAATTACTGATACCCCCCAAATTGCCGCGCTTTTTGGAGGTCACGTGTACAACGCCGGAGGCTCGATCGCCATCACCACCATCAGAGAAAAAGAAAGAAACGCCATTTTGCAAGCGGTGTGCATATGTTGTGGTCGTGTATTGAACTTTGGTTCCACCATGGGGAAGTACGCGAGCTACACGGCTGGGTTTAAACTGAAGGCAGTGCAGTACGCGCTGGAGCACGGCAACCGGGCTGCAAGCAGGCATTTCGGTGTTGGAGAAACCAGTATTCGGTACTGGAGGGACCAAGGAGAAAAACTTAAAAGCGACGAAGAAGACACGACGGGCTTTCCGCGGTGCCAAGACCGGCAGGTATCCGAACGTCGATGAGCAACTGGTCCGGCATATACGGGAGCTACGACAAGACGGCTGTGCTGTGTCGTTGGATATTGTGCCGACTGAGGCGCGCAGAATAGCCCGAGCGCAGGGCATCGAAGCAAAAGAGTTCAAAGCCAGCTCCGGATGGACAACTCGTTTCATACGGCGCCATGGCCTCGCACTGCGAAGGCGGACCACCTTGTGCCAGCGCTTGCCCGCAGCATATGAGGACAAAGTGGTGGACTTCCACAGTTTTGTTATAAAGCTCCGACAGCAGAAAGATTTCATTTTGTCCCAGATCGGCAACGCTGATCAGACCCCCCTTTGCTTTGAAATGCCGTGGAACACGACAGTGGAGGAGAAAGGTGCACGGAGCGTTATCGTCAGAACGTCTGGCGCTGATAAACAACGATGCACCGTAATGCTGGCGGTGACAGCGGATGGGCGTAAGCTACCGCCTTACGTTATTTTTAAACAAAAGACCCTCCCAAAGGCGAAATTCCCTCAAGGTATCTACGTCAGAGTCCAGGAAAAAGGCTGGATGAGCGCGGAACTCATGGTGGATTGGGTGAAAACAGTCTGGGGTCGGCGGCCGGGTGGTCTGTTGTTGCCGTCCATGCTTGTCCTGGACAGTTTTCGTGGGCACCTAGTAGACCGCGTACGAGATGAGCTAAAGGAGCTGTGCACAGATCTGGCAGTTGTTTGCGTCCTCTATTCCGCTTTTGGTAAAATCTAGGGTGTCGCCGGTATGGCCGTAAAAGGGTGAAAATTGATAGAAGACACAACACACGACTCGCGCACTGTTAAGAAAATGTATACAAAGGAAGGCTGTATTTAATTAAAAAAACTAGGTTACAATTATTACTCGCGCAACCGTTCCATTCCGCACATCGCACAACGCACAACCGCTCAAGTCGCTCGCAATTCGCAGACTCTCGTTCGTTCGCCGTTCTCGTTGCGTCTCTGGCTCTTTCCGCGCTTTCTCGCTCTCCTCTGTCGACCACAGATCCGAGTACACATACGTGCACGCTGACACAAATGCGCACGCACCACACACACACACGCACGTGCACGTGCACAAATTGTTCCACGAAGTCAGTGGGAGAAGTCCGTCGCTTAGCCATTCGGGGAAACAGTGTCGAACGTCCCACAGGCCACGGATGCACAAAGCGGAATGTTTCCCTCTTTTTGCACCCGACCTCGCAAGGTGCAGTAAAGCGGGCCGCCGCCTTTTGTGCTGACCTGGCGCCCGCAGGTCTGGGAGGCTCGCCGATCGCTGCTGCCCGTAAACAAGGAGGACGGCCCCCTCGAGTGACCAACGGACACTCGCACGGCACAACACACGCAAAAAGAAAAAAATAAAAACAAAACTTAGAAGATTTGAGGCAGTCGCGTACACAGTGATTCCGGGCGGCCTCACATCGATACTTCAGCCTTTGGACGTGTCCTTGATTAAACCTTTCAAGGACAATGTTCGAAGGCTGTACATCACCTGGATGGCTGGAGGACAACATCAGCTGACTACAGGTGGTAAGATTAAGAGGCCGCCTGTGGAAATGCTGTGCGCTTGGATCGTGGAAGCGTGGCAGGCGATCTCCGACGAAGTTGTCAGGAAAAGCTTCAAGAAGACGGGTATCTCGAACGCACTGGATGCGAGTGAGGATGACATGTTGTGGGGTGCGGATGATTCGGACACCGAAAACGAATCCCCGCTCGGCGAGGATGAATGTGTGATCTCCGACTCGGACTCCGAAAAGGGAAAAGGAGGAACAGCTACGACTTTTGTGTAAATAAATTTTACGTGTGTGTGTGCAGTTGACGACTCTCGCTTGTTCATTAAAAGGTACGTAGGTATGTTTGTTTTATGCTGAATTAATTGGTAAACGATAAAGTCGCCTTTTACTTGACAAGTGTGCAGATTTAAAGCGCGAGAACAGAGTTGAAAAAATTTTCGGAAATTTTACCCCGCGTAATTGGCGCACCCCTAACTTCGAGCCGGATTTTCTGAAAAAAAAAGTGCGCCTATTATGCGAGTAAATACGGTATTGCAGGCATAACCAAACATGATTACCTGGGAAGCACGTAATTTTGCTCCCCAGGGCAAAGAAGAGAGGTGTTTGCAAAACGTTCATGAGAATTGTCATGCTACACGTAACTACTCACACAGTCCAAAAGTCCTCTGGACAAACGACAAAGGCGAAAGTGATCCAAGAAAACACAGCGGAGAGAGAGCATGAAGGTTTGTATTTGATGGCCTACTAACTACAATACTTGATTCACTGGTGCCAATAGCGAGTTCAAGCCTGGAGCTACAAAAAGTAAAGCCGCCCATTTTTCAAACCTGAACGCACGAGCAACTAACGCCGAGTATGTAGGCACCTGTCGCGGGCGTTCTGGTGTCCGGTTCCCGGAACAGCCTAACAGAAAACAGCTGCACAGGAATATTCATCGCACGTATGCACATATTCTTGTTCATTTTGCCGCTGTGTGCTACGCTCCTTATCGACTGGATGGCCGACGCTCGTGCGTTCCGATTTTAAAAATGTGCAGCAGACGTCCGGCGACGTTTTTTATTACGGCAGCCCAGATATAACGATCAAGGGTTATAAGGATCATATTTCCAGGTTTTCACAATATCATTATAAGTAGATTGCCACTGTATTTCTGGTTCTGTCGTTTGCGACCTCAATGTTTCTGCACTGTAAGTTAGCACTGCTCAGTCTCTACGGCTGCACACTCAAACCTCAATACTATAACGAAATACGCCGGTGATAACGAAGTAAATGAAGAACAGTCTTACAATAGATATAGTGTTAAGAATATACCTCTATAACAAATTTTCGGACATAACTAACTTAATTTCGCGTAATATGCAACATCATTATAAGGAGGTTTTAGTGTACACTTTCTGCCTACTTACTAGGAAAGCAGCAGTGTGTGGCAGAGGAGCAGGAGGCATGCCTCAGCCCAGCCCAGGAGAAGGATGGGATTCAGGCGCGGCAGCAGTAGTCCAGAGAGCCCTGGCACTACGCTGCACACACTGCACACAACGACAAGTAGCTCGAGATAAAACGCATTCACTCTCTAAAACGAAGGGGATAGTACAACAACGTGACACATTCACTACGACGCTATTTTTTAAGTCCCAATTACAAGTAACGTAAATGAGTTCTGCGGAGTCCCACAAGGTGGCTGAAGGCTTAAAAAAGGGAAATCGGACAACTATCTGTTCGTGGCACGAAGCCACAAGAAAACCCGTACGGACTTCTCAGAAAGAAAAGTCTCTTAGTTGCCAATAAATTCGTCCTGGTCCAAGGATCGAACCTGGGACCAACGCATTTCCGAGGTGGTCGCTCTTCCAACTGACCTAACCAGGAAGCTAGCAACTGGCAGCGTGCGTGCGAATTCATCGACAACTCGAAGCACATGGACACAAGTAATGCAAATGATACAGCACATGACGACACAGCACTAATACTGCACATGATGATCCCATTAGTGGATCAACCAGCGAACCACTATGAAGTTGTAGGCTTTTTTAAACTTGCTAAAATTGAAAAGAAGCTTCACTGTGACACATCAAATCTGAAACAACAAGTTTTTTTATTTTTTCCCCTCCAATATTTGTGGGAAATAAATCATAGATATTAAGCGCAACCACCCTTAAATAGGTTTTCGCAAGTGCCACCACAGTTGATACCTATTCTTTATTACCTCTAGGTGTTAGCTGATACTGCTACACCCCTCATGCTGATACTGCTACATACTTACCCAGTGGCAGATCCAGAGGGAGGGCGGTAGGGGCGATCACCCCCCCCCCCTCCAAAAAAGCCTGTGGCAGCCCCCCTCCTCACTTCAGTGGTCGTAGTCCACTTAATTCTTATCGTCAGTTACGACAAATGAGTGAAACCACTGTGAGAACGTACACCTTTACTGTATTTATGCTATGAAGCGGTTTTTTTGCAAGTAAAAACAAAAAAGTGGCAGCTTTGCTGCAAAGGCGAAGCAATGAACGTGATAGCAACAAATTGGAAGGTTACACGCAGAATGGCAAGCAGATCGAAACGTGCCCCGCGTTTCTCACGCACAAAGGACACACGAAACGTACTCACAGGTACAGATTAGCTCGAATAAGCGTCTAAGCTGTGACTGAAAAGCGCACCCTTTTCGTAAATGGAGGCTGTGACAAGCAATTGCAGTGACCTTTGTGCGCCCGGTAACTACAACAGAACAGTTCCGACAAAACTCAAAGGCTAGCCAAGACGTACGATTCTCCCCACAGCAAGATAAGGGCGCGCGATCGACTGTGCACTCCCTTATTCTCTACGCGGGCCAAAGTACGAGTGAGAGATAAGAGCCACCGCGCGCTCATGGCGCCATCTTGCTGATGATTCTAAAAACACGATAGTCCCCCCCCCATATGCCCGCCAACAGCAGTAAGTGGTAGATATGAATAGTTTGCCGTTTAAACGTTCAAGGAGGTACCTCTCAGTGTCTCAGTGGCTAACGGCTCGCATTAACGACACGGAGGTCCTACGTTGAATTCCGCGCACCGGAGTCTTTTTGCTGGGATTTTTTTCTCTCTTGCGTTTTCATGTATATAGATACGTATACGTATATGGTGCATGACATCGACGCTGACGTCGACGCCCACGCCGGCTGCGAAATCCAGCCGAGAGTGTCTATATAATTACTATCGCAATAAAAGTCTTGGCCTCGTTCCCCTCATAGGTGCTACCTAAAGCGACCCCCCCCCCCCCCCCCCCGACGTGAGTGGCTGAATCCACCCCTGTACTTACCGTTTGTTATTCATAAAGTCCGTGCTATTCCGATATTTTAAACATTTTTTTTTATTTCTCGTCCTTCATTTATTACATATGTCATAGGTTTAACCATCTGTAATATATGAAACAATCCCTAAAGAAATTTGTTGTACATATATCCTAAATTACACCTTTGTGGTGGAACAGTGATACTAACTTTGGTAGTAAATGTTCCAAGAAATAAGAAACAATGCAAGTTAATGAAACACCTGTCCTTAAACTACTATGTTGCATGCCTGTGTTCATATAAACCAAGGCACGCAGGTGCCTTGGTTTATATCCTTAAACCAAATCAGAAAGTATACAGTACGAGGAAAGAGTAGCAGCACAGTAGGGTACAGCTTAAAGGGACACTAAAAGCAAATGACAATTTACTTCACTGTAGGACAATGTCTAAAATGGCAATATTGTCACGGGGTCGTGACGTGGCCGAAGACAGGAGACTTTGTGTTGGAATTTAACTGTTTATTTGGGCGAACCTGTGCCCGGTAAACGGAAAATCCGATTACAGTAGCAGTCTTGGACTGATAGCGGCGAACGCAGCGTCAACCGTCGATCAACTACTCACAAGCAGCGAAGTGCGTCGGCATTTATACTCTTGCCATCGAATGTTCTAGCGTTATCGCTGGCGGTGGCGTAGGTTCCACAATAATCTGTACAGTTCGCAGAGTATGCGTGATCTTATATAAATGATCTGCTAAAGTCCGGAAGCTTCTCGAAAACTGCAGGCGCGGTTTGCGCTGAGAATTGTGTAGTGTTTTGGGGCGATAACAAAACTTGAGAAATAGAACGTGGCATTGCCCCCCTTTGAAAAAGGCATCGTCCCGATGCTCTAACTAAGATGAAAATACAACAATAATGCAAGAAAGTACAATGAATAAATTACGATACAATAATGATACAAAAAACACTGTTTCAGTTTGTTAACGCGCATGAAACGGCTTGAGGCGCGCGACATGGACGACTTAAGGTCGCGATCGGCGTCGTTGAGAGTTCGTGATGCCGTCGGGAACAACCTCGTAATCAAGTGGGCTGAGACGTCGAACCACCCTGTATGGTCCGAAGTACCGTCGCAGAAGCTTTTAACTTAGTCCACGTCGGCGTATCGGCGTCCACACCCAAACAAGTTCACCGGGGCTGGTATTCCACGAAGCGTCGTCGAAGATTGTAACGGCGGCTGTCGGTCGTCTGTTGATTCTTGATACGGAGACGCGCGAGTTGTCGGGCTTCTTCTGGGCGTTGAAGGTACTCACTCACATTGAGGTTTTCTTCGTCGGTGACGTTGGGTAACATGGCATCAAGCGTCGTTGCCGGGCTCCTTCCGTAGACCAATTTGTATGGAGATATCTGCGTCGTGTCCTGCACCACCGTGTTGTATGCGAAGGTCACGTACAGAAGAATGGCGTCCCATGTCTTGTGTTCGACATCGACGTACATTGCCAGCATGTCGGCGATCGTCTTGTTTAGCCGCTCGGTGAGGCCGTTGGTCTGTGGGTGGTACGCTGTCGTCGGTGGTGGTTTGTGTGGCTGTATGCCAAGATCGCTTGAGTTAAGCCGGCAGTAAATGCCGTTCTACTGTCGGTGATAAGGACCTCCGGAGCGCCGTGACGTAGGATGATATTTCCGACGAAGAACTTAGCTACCTCGAATGCACTGCCTTTTGGCAGGGCTTTTGTCTCGGCATAGCGGGTGAGGTAGTCGGTAGCTACCACGATCCACTTGTTTCGGAAAGCCGACGTCGGGAACGGCCCCAGTAGGTCCATACCAATCTGCTGGAAAGGTCGGCGAGGTGGTTCAATTGGCTGCAAAAGTCCCGCTGGCCTTGTCGGTGGTGTCTTGCGTCGCTGACAGTCCCGGCATGTCCTCATATAACGAGTGAAGTCGGTGGTAAGACGTGGTCAATAGTACCTTTCTTATATCCCCGCGAGCGTGCGAGAAACACCGAGGTGCCCTGCTGTCGGATCGTCGTGCAGGGCCTGCAGGAGTTCTGGTCGCAGAGCTGAAGGCACCACAAGGAGATACTTGGCTCGAAGCGGTGAAAAGTTTTCTTTTGTAGAAGACCGTTTCGCAGGAAGAACGACGCAAGTGCGCGCTTGAATACTTTCGGGACTTCGGTGGTCCTGCCTTCGAGGTATTCTATTAGGGCCTTAAGTTCCGGGTCGGCCCGCTGTCGTTCAGCGAAGTCGTCGGTAGTTATTGTTCCCAAGAAGTAGTCGTCATCCGGGTCGTCGGGTGGTGGTTGGTCGACAGGCGCACGAGAGAGACAGTCGGCGTCGGAGTGTTTCTTGCCGAACTTGCAAACGACGGTAATGTCATATTCTTGAAGTCTCAGGCTCCAACGTGCGAGGCGACCTGAAGGGTCCTTCAAGGTGGCCAGCCAACACAAGGCGTGGTGGTCGCTCACAACATTGAAGGGCCTGCCATAGAGGTAGGGGCGAAATTTCGACGTAGCCCAGATGATGGCGAGGCACTCCTTTTCTGCTGTGGAATAAATGGCTTCTGCTTTGGATAGCGATCGGCTGGTGTAACTAATAACCCTTTCAAATCTGTCAGCCCTCTGCACAAGAACGACGCCAAGACCTACGCTGCTTGCGTCAGTGTGTATTTCTGTCTCGGCGAATTCGTCGAAATGGGCAAGTAACGGAGGCGTCTGGAGGCGACGTTTAAACTCTTGGAAAGCGTGTTCCTGCGGCGTTTGCCACTTGAACTCCACGTCGGCCTTGGTAAGGTTAGTGAGAGGATCAGCGATGCGGGCGAAGTTTTTCACGAACCGCCTATAATAGGCGCACAGGCCCAGAAATCGGCGCACCGCCTTCTTGTCAGAGGGTGGCGGGAAGTCGGCGATGGCGGCTGTTTTCCGTGGATCGGGACGAACTGCAGACTTGCTAATAACGTGCCCCAGAAACAAGAGCTCCTCATACGCAAATCTGCACTTTTCTGGCTTCAGTACGAGTTTTGACGTCTTGATGGCTTGAAGTACAGCTTCAAGGCGCCGAAGATGCTCGTCGAAACTCGAGGAAAACATGACGACGTCGTCCAAGTACACAAGGCAAGTCTGCCACTTCAATCCTACCAGTACTGTATCCATAACGCGTTGAAAAATTGCAGGCGCTGAGCGAAGACCGAAGGGCATCACCTTAAACTCGAAGAGGCCGTCCGGTGTTATAAACACAGTCTTGTCTTGAGGTCCATTGACGAAAAGGACTTGGCGTTATGGAGCCGATCAAGTGCGTCATCTATTCGTGGGAGAGGATACACGTCCTTTCTTGTGATTTTGTTCAGGCGGCTATAATCGACGCAGAAACGTAGGGTCCCATCCTTTTTCTTCACTAACACCACGGGGGATGCCCATGAACTCTTGGACGGCTGGATAATGTGATCCCGCAGCATTTCATCAACTTGTCTCTTCATGGCCTCACGTTCTAGCGTCGAAACCCTGTACGGACTCTGACGGAGTGGTCTGGCATTTTCTTCGGTTATGATGCGATGTTTCATGATTGGTGTCTGCCAAATTTTTTATGACGACGAAAAGCAATCTTCATATTGCAGGAGCAGGGCCTTGAGCTGTTCTTGCTTATGGTTCAGAAGTCTGGGATTGACATCGAAAGCTATGGGAGGGTTTGGTTCCTCTGAGCAGGTTCCGCAGAATCGGCGACGGCGAAAGCACTGATGGCTTCGACAATTTCTTTGATGTATGCGACCGTTGTTCCTTTGTTAACATGTTTGTATTCATTGCTGAAATTCGTGAGCATAACCGTTGCTTTGCCTCCCCGCAGCTCTGCAATTCCTCTTGCAATGCAAATATTTTGGGTGACCAACAGATGCTGACTGCCTTCAACGACGCCTTCCAAGTCAGGTGATTTAGGAGCGCCGACTGAAATAATGACGCTGGAGCGAGGCGGAACGGTGACTTGTTCTTCCAGCACATTCAAGGCATGGTTTTCTGACGGCGTGCGCGGCGGTAGTGCTTCTTCTGTGAATAACGTTATCGACTTTGTTCTTAGCTTGATGACAGCCCCATGGAGGCATAAGAAGTCCATACCAAGGATGACATCTCTCGAGCAACGCTGTAAGACTACGAAGTCTGTAGGATAAATACGGCCGTTAATGGTGACTCTCGCTGTGCAGATTCCTGTAGACGTTACGAGATGACCTCCGGCTGTGCGGATTTCAGGGCCTTCCCAAGCTGTCCTAACTTTCTTTAACTTCGTGGCGAACGACCCACCGATGACGGAATAGTCGGCTCCAGTATCGACGAGAGTGGTCACACTGTGGCCGTCAATAAGAACGTCGAGGTCGCTAGTTCGCCGTCTCGCATTACAGTTAGGGCGTGGCGTCGGGTCACGGCTGCATCGGCTTGTTCCGCTGCTTCCATGTTGCGTCGTCAGGCCACCTTCGGTAAGTGAGCTTTCGCAGTCAGGGCTTTGCCAGGTTGGCGTTGTGGTCGGAAAGCTCCGTCGCGTCGTCGTCGGAGGATCTTTGGTAGTTCATCGCATAGCAACCGCACCTCCATCGGTTGCTGCCCTTAGTTTCCCGGCTACGGGCTAGGAGACCGGCCCCGCGTTGGGCCAGAGTACTGCCGGTGGTGCGGCGACATACGGCGGCTGGGCGACGGCGAACGAGAAGGACTTCGTGGTGTCCACCGAGTTCCTGTCAGGCAGTCGGCAATGTCACGTGGCCGTTCTCCTGGCTGTGGACACGGTGCATTGACGGCGAAGCCACGCAGTCCCATCTGTCGGTACTGGCAACGGCGGTATGTGTGTCTGGCCTCGCCGCAGTGGTAGCAGAGCAGGCGGTGGTCAGGGGTGCGCCAGACGTCAGTCTTTCTCGGCGCATTGCGCTGGGCCGCTGGCAAACGGTAGGACGGCATTAAAGGTGGTGGCGTCTGGCGACGGAAGTGCAATGGGGCAGCGTTTTGGCGTGCGCGTGGAGGAGGGGCGTGGCGGCGGGCTGCAGCAGCATAGCTCATGGCTTGCAGCTGAGGCTCTTAAGACTGAGGAACGCCCAGCGATTGCTGGATATCCTGGCGTACGACGTCCGCGATGGATTCCATGTGAGGCTGCGCTGAAGGAAGTAATTTTCGCAGCTCTTCTTGCACGATCGCTCGGATCGTCTCACGCAAGTCAGTGGTTCCAAGCCCTTGAATGCCGGCGTAGCTTGTAGACGAAAAGCTACGGTTATATTGCCGCGTGCGCATCTCGAGCGTCTTCTCTATCGTAGATGCTTCTGAAATGAATTCGGCGACTGTCTTTGGCGGGTTTCTGATCAGCCCGGCGAAGAGTTCCTGCTTTACTCCTCGCATGAGCAGATGGACCTTCTCCTCGGACATGTCGGAGTCAGCGTGGCAGAAAAGTTTTATCATGTCTTCCGTGAATAGCGCTACGTTTTTGTTTGGAATCTGCATGCGGGTTTCGATAAGAGCTGCGGCCTTCTTCTTGCACACCACACTTGCAAAAGTGGTGAGGAACGTGGCGTGAAAGACGTCCCACGTTGTAAGGCTTCGCTCTTGATTCTCGAACCAGGTCCGAGCAGCATCTTCTAAAGCGAAATACACATGCAGGAGCTTGTCATCGTCTGTCCAGTCATTGAAGGCGGGGACGCGGTCGAACCTTTCGATCCAGCTTTCCGGGTCTTCCAGTGGCAAACCGCGGAAAGTTGGCGGCTCTTTGGGTTGTCGGAGCAGGAGTGGTGCAGGCTGCACGGGGGCGGTCATGGTTGCAGTAGTTGATGTCGGGATCCGGGTCTGCCTGGCTGCTTCAGTCAGGAAGGGGCCCGTACTCTGGTTGTTGTCCCCTCTGCCGGCGGCTTGTTCGCTGTTCAGGGTTAGCGTCTGTGTCTTCTTTGCCGCTTGGGCTGGGGTCGCGGCTTGAAGGGGGCGTCCGGAACATCGAAAAAGCAGCACCTCCACCAGATGTCACGGGGTCGTGACGTGGCCGAAGACAGGAGACCTTGTGTTGGAATTTAACTGTTTATTTGGGCGAACCTGTGCCCGGTAAACGGAAAATCCGATTACAGTAGCAGTCTTGGACTGATAGCGGCGAACGGAGCGTCGGCCATCAATCAAGTACTCACAAGCGGCGAAGTGCATCGGCATTTATACTCTTGCCATCGAATGTTCTAGCGTTATCGCTGGCGGTGGCGTAGGTTCCAGAATAATCTGTACAGTTCGCAGAGTGGGCGTGATCTTATCGAAATGATCTACTAAAGTCTGGAAGCTTTTCGAAAACTGCAGGCGCAGTTTGCGCTGAGAATTGTGTAGTGTTTTTGGGCGATAACAAAACTTGAGAAATAGAACGTGGCAAGTCCGACTACAATTAATCACTAGTAATCAAACTAGAGGCAATAAAAAAGAGGAACTAATAAAATGGTGCTTGTCCATTTCTGTTTAATTTATAGAAAAAATACACGCCTGCCGCTACTATGGGGAATGGCGCGAGTGGTTCAAAAGTTCAGTTTTCAGCTGGTTAAGCCGAGTAGGTGGGGCCGTGTAGCGGAGCCCAGTTGAGTCAAACAAGCAGAACCATAGCCTCTGGGATGGTAGAAAATTGTTCAATGACCGTTGTTGCTACTGTGGCTCCCGCTACTTTCGCTCTGCTGCTACTGGTGTTGGTGGCCGCATAGTAAAGGCAGGCAACGTTGTGCACGGTAACAGTGATGTCTGACAGTCAGCTTTCAGGCGAGGGATTTGAAGTGCACTGACGCAGTGCGGGCCATCGAAACATGATTTTATTTCGGAATAAGCCCTTCCTTGGCACAAAAGTTGCACTACAAGGTTTCCGGACGGCCATTTTAATAATCAACGTCGTCTTAAGTGCGGCGGCCGATCGCTTTCACGACTAAAACAATATAGTTCTCACACACTCGGCAATGTTCTCTGCAGGCGGTGTTCCCAGCAGTCTGCCGCGTGACCCCGCCTTCACAGACCGATTATGGAGATTAAAATATAGCAGCTAACAAAACACAGTGAGGGCTGGCTCTGCAGAAACCTGGCAAATGCAGGCTTTTGAGCGAGCTAGGCTCTTTCCTAAATGCGGATATATATTGCAGCACACACACACACCTTCCTACCTACTCCTCGCACAGCCTCACCTGCGACTGATGTCAGACAGATGCTCCTGGAGCCAACTAGAGCTGGACGCCTGCAGGACGCTGGCCAGCGATGGCTGCTGAACGCTCAGCTGGACCAGCAGGTGCCAGCAGAGACCCAGCACCGCACCTGGCAAGAGGCGGCCACTGCACCCAGCAAACAGTGCTTGGATAAATAAAAAACTTGCAGGGTCCTGTATGCATTCACTAAAGACAACTCGGTGGCAAAAGCCGTCTTTTCTTTTCTCTGAGCTGATGTGCACTCAAATCTCACTATAACAAAGTCGCATCTTACACAAAAATAAGGTAGTTATATGCTGAAAATTGTTATAATGGTATATTCCTAACACTAGATCGATTCTTAATTCACATCTTTATAACCGATATTTCGTTATGTGTGGGTTTGTTAAATCGAGGTTGGGGTGTATTGATGTTGACCCACCACCCCGCGAATACTTCCTACACCTGACATCGTTTAGCACTGGGACGTGTCACAATGATGATGTCATAACGATCTTACAAATATCGCCCATCTGTGACATTACCGTGATGTAAGTATATGGTGCCGTCATTTCGTAATTACGATTTTCTGCATGGCTCCTCCCCGATACCACAAGACATAAGACGCTGCAGCCGCCGAATGCTGATGACAAAATTTTGTGTTATATCAGGCATATAAGGCTCCCACCTTAACAATCTGTAAGTCATGGACCAGGACAAACATGAAGGTGTACAAGAAAAAAAGGCTGTCTGGTTTGTAGGGGCGCTCTCACACTTTGTAAAGTCGTTTGAACCTTGTGGCGCACAAGTGTCTCGTGGCGAAGCTGCATTTAGGTTCAACAGCCATCGAGTGATAGGTGGCACAGTGCTTGCGCAGTGTTCCCCATCATCATCATTATGGTTAGTGCGGTAGCGCCAGCAGCGATGCCTGGCGGCGAGGCTTTGCGGTGGCACATGAGACACAAGCGGCTCTCTTTGGCTTGTGGCGGCTGGCGTGGATGGTCCTCTCCCTAGAAGGTCCCTCGGAGGATGCAGCGACTGCGGGTCGCGTCCCGTAGGTCCCCAGTGGTGAGTCTAACATCGGCGACACAGCCTTCACATTACCTTGTTGGTTTACTATGTCGATTGAGTGACCTATAGGGAATATTGTGAGAGGTTGTGTTCAGCATGCTGATCACCAGTGATCTATTTGATTCAGCTGGCTAAATCGTCTATGTAAAAGTAGCTCACTCAACAAATGTTTTGTTTGGTTTGGTTAGACTTTGTTCGGTGTGTCCATTCGCTCTGAGAGCATGGTGCCTCAATGCCCCACAGATGATGTGCCCCACAGATGTAATATGCAAAAAAATCGGAGATTCTTGTCTGCTTACATTCCAAGACAAAAGCATTAATTTACTATAACTGCTCTAATTAAAAAAACTGCTCTAATTAAAAATTAACAGCCACTGACTAAAACCCAAAATATTTCACTGCTGGCTGATTTCAGACACAGGTAATATTTCATATTACCAAGTTTCTTGTTAAATATGGTTTTGGTTCTTGTAATTAAATTGCTCCTCTTCTTGCTTGGCTTTTGGCATTTTCATAAGCAAAAAAATTGTGAAACCTCTGTGGATTAGCACGTTGTGGTGTCTAGTCTCAAACTATAAAGCACTTTCAATTAGTCTGTTAATGATGCAAAGGACCTACACCATAGCCTCCAATGGGCTTGTACATAATTGTGACACCCATTTCAAGGCCCTTGAATGTTTATGTGAGGAAAGAACGAAGTTTACCGGATGCCAATGAATACCAATCGACTTACGATATGAATTTGGTGATGGAACATAATATTCGTGCAAGGCAAATTTCGTGGTAACGGTTCAAAGGTCTGTAAAAATATATATAAATATATGTATATATCGTCTCACCTATGCACGACAGCTGGGTCCAGCAGCCTCTCCAGGCTGAGAAAAAGAAAATGAAAAATATTTCAAACATGTGTGCAATTTCTCAACCTAACTTAACAGTAATTATGGAGAATTACAAATTCCCAGATTCTCATAGGTAAAAGTATGAGTTTGAAGGAAGGCTTAAATCATGTTCATTTCAAGTAACTCGACATATGTGACTGTACTGACGACTTGCTTTCCGATTATACTAATTTACAACCGAACGTCTATCACACAGGGAAAGTTCCCCAAAACACGTCATTGTCTCTTTTGCAAAGGTGTGCTCAAGCAATGATCTTTCCCGTTGCATAACTTCTTCAAGAAGTTTCCAAGGCTGCCTACATCTGCAAGACTTTTACCAAACCATTTCCGGAAGAATAAATTGAACTAAATTACATTTTTTGGCAGTGCTACTTTAATGTGCATCCATTTCTTGGTTAGGTATGCTGATACAACAGCCCTAAATAAGTTATAGCAACGTGTGCCGCTTAAAACTGCCTCGTGTGGGTGTATTCTAACAACTGCGGAGTGCTACTTACAGTTCGAGCAGCTTTTGGGCCCACTGGTCGAAAGGACTCTGCACGGTGCTTACCTTTCCTTCAAGACTAAGAAGGAGCCAAGTTGCGACAGTATCGTGCTCGCCAAGATGGCTAGAGCTTCCCATCTTCTGTACCTGCATTAAAGAATCAACAAAGGTAGTCAAATATACAGAGCCTACATGTCAGTATTGAATAACGAAGACATAACATAATGTGTGCAAGAACAACATGGACTGTGCTCACTAAAATGACTGCCTATGGTTTTGTTCATAACAGTACAAACTAAACGTTAGGTTTCCTTGGCTTTCTCACAGAGATACTTTAGCATTTCTAACGAGCATGTGTCTTGTCCCCGGTCAAGACTCACTGTTTCAATGACATTTTCAAACTGTTAGGTATCAGTTAGACAATCATGCATGGGCCTGAGTCAATCATTCCATGTGTTTCCAAATATAAAGAACCAATAATCTGTGCCCATAAAAAATGATTCCGTTTAAAGGATACTGAACAAAATTTTACCGTTGAGACTTTCAGCTAAATTGAAAAATTGCGTGCTGGTAACGGAACACACAGCCCTTATTTGAGGCAGAAACCAGCGGAGAGCGATGAATTCGATGCATTTTCCACAAACAATGCTACGCCAAGCGCCTGCATCAAGAACTAGAGTATGTGATGGTTTGGCGGACATTTAGGTCACCGGAAACTGGGCGTGCCGACTCTGCCAGCCATCACTTGCATCTCTCAGCTCGCACTAGCTCCCACAATAATTATTAGAACCAATACAAAGTTCTCCGCAATGAAATACCAAGCTCTCTCAGTTAGATTTAGATGAAGCCCCTAAAAAGGGGGGGGCCTGTCTCAGAGCCTCGGAGAAGGGGGAGAATGAGATGTAAAGAAGAGGTAGAGAAATTGAAGCGAGCCCTACATCCGCCGTGCGGAGAAGTGACGTCACAGCCGTCGTTGTGCAATGCCTCGCGCACCAACTTGCCGCCTCGACACGCTGACAATCCTCCAGAAATTTAGCCACCAGTCCAAAGAAAGTTCTGATCATTGGGACAGTCACGTCTTCCAAGCGAAATTTCAATGTTTCCGTCATTTTTAGGGGCGAAACTTCTCACACTGTGGCTCAGTCCCTCTTCCCCCGTTACTTCTCAGAATGTTCACTAGATAGCACGGTCGCGTGAGGTATAGATTGATAGGATTGCGGAGAGACACGTGGATCGACAGAAAAACGGACGAAGGGCTGAGTTGAGAGCTTGCAAGGCTTCGCCCCACTCATCATCATTCACTCCGTGGATATGCTGTAATTTTTTTTCTTGTTCAGTGTTTTTTTTTTTTTAAAGAACACAATTTTGTTCCTGTGCTAATTTCATAGTGCAGCAACTAGAAATGCTAATCACTATTGTACCCCCTCAAGCTTCATGTGATCATAACTCACTACGCTCACTTCTCCAACATCCACATGTATATACACTTTTATAGCAAAAGCATGCACACGTACGCACACATATCCTCCTTATAACGCAAACATGCTGAGTGCACCTTTTTGTATACACTACAGAATTAGTTTAAGGAGAGATGCGGGTCGAAAAATGCGAGTTTTTTTTTTAATTACCAATTTTTTATTTTCGCCTGTTTTGATTAGTACTATACTGTTATGAAAAAAAAAATACAGGTCGAGACATAACTGGAAATGCTTTAAAATTGCATCTAAAGAGCACAAGGTGCCTGTTAAAAGGTCCAAAGTGTGCAGTGTTTGAGCACCTTGCCGCCGATAATGCGCCGCCGCTCGCCCTCGTTGATCGCATGAGCCGAAGAGTCGAGCCTCACTTTTCAAATAACAACAGTTTCCTTCGCTGACACAGCGCAAGCAAGAATAAAAGAAGCAAGCTTCTGCGTGTTTTTCGAGGGCCGCGACTGGCTTATCACGTGGTACGAACGGGAAACCGCCATTGGCCGCTGTGCGCTTGTATGTGCTGTCAAGCCTATTTGCGGGGTCCATGTCTTGTCGAGCAGCGCAGCTGAACAATGCTTTTCTCGTGTAATTATCTCCGTTATGAATGAAAAAAGCCATTGCTCGCAAGTGAAAGCCATTGTGCAGCGTGCTCTGTAGGAATAGGCTACGAGCAGCTGGTCCGATTTGTGGCAGTTGTTGGCTTGCAAAAGCCAATGCATCAAAAGTCATTCACACCAGTCAGCCGGAAAGTTCGTGATGGGGCAATGCATGCGTCAGCGCCAATCTTGTGAGGTTGAAAGAGCTTGCAGTGAGGGAACTTAGCAGGGACGACATTGCCAATATATACGACGGTATGTGGCACAAGCATGGCCGCAAAATGGCATGACACTGGACTTAGTTTGGATTTCCCAGTCCTGTCGAACTTCTTCCTAGCTTGCAGTTGGCACATGGTTCTGCCAGACGGAGCGGAAGTTTGGCAAGCGCTTCATGGCCCTGTCTGTGAGCGAACTGCCTGTGAGGATTCGGCTCAAAAAAGTCGAGAGGGACATACTTATGGTGCTGGCGTATTTTAGTGGCAGCGGCCACATCAAGAAGGATTGTTCTTTTTGGTGGTCAAATTTCATCAGATTGAATTATATCTTTCATAAATAAAAACTCAATTTTAACTTTAAAACTCGTTTTTCTCAAAACACAAATTTTGCCACTTCTTTTAATGTGCCCCTCTTTTTTGGGCACTTCGTGCTCGGATCTGCATGAAATTTTGCCCGATTTTTTTCCAAAGTATTACAAACGCAATTATCTAGTTTAAATTTCAATATTTTATTGTATAATAAAAATATTGTAAACCTTTACTAGGGTAGGTGAAATATTGCGTTTATTATTTTTCATGCCTATTACATATTTTATATGTGCTTCCTAATTAGTTATTTGCATTCTACACTTTATTTCAAACAATATGAACTATGAATGGTAAAAAATTACGGAAGTTTAGGGTGAAAAGAGGGGGGCAAAAGCGTTAAGGTTTTCACTTTGTCATGTTGCAGAGCTAAAAGTATGCTACTTGCAATAAAACTAATTATATATTTGAAATCAGCATAAAAAGTTCCATAAACAGATCAGGTTTCATTGCTCTAGGGTGAATACTACAAAAAAAGTGTATTCGAGTAGCATCTCCCCTTAAAGGTATTAATCTGTTATGTCCTCTATGACCCGCTGAATTACGTTCACATTCGGTCAAACAACAGCTTTGCATTGCATCTTGTTTTCAGATTTTCAGTTGCGGTGTTTTCTGCCTCACACTCGTGCAGTAGCCATCAAGAAAAGCAGCTTGTCTAAATGAAACCTGAAGTTGTTGCCAAAGAAGGGGGGGATAACAACGTGGAGTACACAAGATGGAGATGCAAAAATCAGAAAAATAAGAAGAATGGCTCCTAGCAGAGAACAGAATTAAAGAGCAACAGATGAAGACGACGCCCAGCAAAACTGCTGTTCAAGACAGAATATTGATGATGATATGTGGGATTGAACGTCCCAAAACCACCATTTGATTATGAGAGGCGCCACAGTGGAGGGCGCGGGAAACTTCGACCACCTGGGGTTCTTTAACGAGCACCCAAATCTGAGTACATGGGCTTACAACATTTCCGCCTCCATCCGAAATGTAGCCACCGCAGCCGGGGCTCGATCCCGCGACCTGCAGGTAAGCAGCCGAGTACCTTAGCCACTAGACCACCGCGGCGGGGTGACAGAGTATTGCAGGAGTGCCACAGGACAACAGTATCTCCAATGTTCAAAGGAGTCCTTGCTCAGCTGCTAGTTAGCAGATTATAAGACAGTGACAATGGCAATCTCTTCTGCAATGAGGCTCCTAACATGAAAAATGGATGAACTTTGTAGTGTTCTGAGTGAACGGATATTTCAACTAACAAAAAAAATTTCGGGAAAAAAAATGAAGCTTGACGTGCGATTGTTTGACCTACTACTTTTCTTCTCTTCTATCACGCTGCACTGTGCTCCCAACTAACTGTCTGCTTCCACCATACCACGCAATAAACCTTCCGGCCACGCCCATATCAGCAGAACACTTCAGTTGCTTGCTACAGGCTGGAACGATAGTCATCCGTTCACAATCTTGGCAACGTGAAATGACAAATGGCCTTGATAAAGAACCAGATTTGCACATCACAATCAATTGATCACCGACAAGCCCACGATCGAGAGAGTATCGATATACTGGAAAACGGCGCACACAGTTATGCATGTGACCAGCGCGCCTTCACTCGCTGCATTCCTTTGAGTTCGCCTGCGCTGGGTTTTCTCGCATATATAGAGACTTCGGTTAAAACTCACCCAAAGCTGTAGGTTGGTCCAGGCTTCTGTTGAGACACCCACATGCCCAGTAAGCAATTCCCTAAGCTATAAAAAGCCAAAAGGGGGCGGGAGAAAGACATTTCTTGAAGAGCGCTCCTGCTGCTAAAGATCATATTGTCATTTGCAAAAATAAAAATTTCAATGCAAAATATGGCGGTCAATGCAATTTCTTAGACTTTTCTAAAACTGCCATGAGCCCATAGCTACAGATTGATCAAAGTAACCGACCCAAAATACTGATGAATTTCAAGTTACTGCAGTTACAGCTTAGGCTGTGCAAAGCTGAGAACAAATGAATAGACTCCACAAGCACAAGGAGTAGAATCAACCTTAACCTAACAAAGATCCGAGCTGGTCTTGCACTCAGCCATGACAACACAAAAACTATGAATTTTATTACACATGCCAAAAGCCTTCTATTCCCAGCAATAAAATGTCATGGCAATCAGTGTATTCCAGTATGTGATTACTTGTTTTCACCAATATTTTTCGTTCCACATTCCTTATTCCAGGATGTCTGGCCAACTCACTCAAGATGGATTTCGGCTGAGTACAATAACCTGTACCAATAATCACCATTTAGCTAAGCACTGAACCTCTAGGTATTTATAGACTACCAACCACTCCATACCAGAACTTTGACTAATTAACAAAGCTTACCTTTCGATACAGTAATAGAAAGCAAGAGTTACCCAACTCTACAATAAAAAAAATCTGTTCACTAAGCTTTGCACAAATGCGACTAGTGCACTCAGACCTCACAATAATGAAGTTGAATATTACACCGAAAATAGGTTGATTATATCCGAAAATTCATTATGAAAGTATATTCCTAGCACTCTATGTATTGCGAGATCAGTCTTCATTCACTTCACATAACCGATACTTTATTACATCCAGGTTTGTTATATCGAAGTGTGGTTGTATGCAGACAGAACCAATGAGTGATTCTTACCAGAGCAGGTCAAACAGTGTCAGCTGTGTAAAAGCATTGAGCGCTGTAACAAAAGTACAATGTTAGGACCCAATGCATAGAGAAATTTGTTTTTCAAGTTGTGAAGCATAAACATGCAGTACTACAGCCAACACATCTCACCTAAACTTCCAGAAGATCGACTCCAGTACGAAAGGACCGAGCTACATATGATGTTTCCTACCATCAGCCACACGACCTTCTTTGCCTATATGAAAAACACATAGTATCATTCAATAAAAATAACAAAATCAAAGGCATCATCACCAAAGTACATTTCAATTGATTACATTGCGTGATTACAGTGCGTGATTACATTGTTGTAATCACGCACTCAAGCAAGGCATATAAGCCAAAGATATGCACTGTACCAGCCTAGACAGGACAGAATAGCAAAGAACAGCAATACTGACAAATATACAATTAAATAAAAAAATTAGGTATTTTTACACGCCTATGCCATTATCACAATGTGCACAGCAGTAGGAAACTGGATTAACTTTGACCAGTCGGGGTGCACCTAAATTTAAGTACAGTGCTTATAGACAGAAAGACAACGTGGAAACTTCTAGTGTGATGACTGGTATACACAAGTGCTGAAAACAACTGCACATCATGACCCTATGAATTGAGCCGTTACAAGTATGTAATGTTGACTGTGACCAAAGTGTTGAGAGGCGAAATTATGCCGATTACAACAAAAGCCGAACATGGTGGAAGCAAAAGTATGTGCATGCCTTAGTTGCAAATCGTTGCATTTAAGTCTGCCAGCACTGCGCATGCAGTTTTTATTTTCTGTCTCTCTCTCTCTCCATTTTTCTGCCACTAACATCGCCTTATTCAAATGTGGCCACTGTGGTCGCCAGTCGAACCTGCACCCTTGCGAGCACCGCAACCACTAAGCCGCCACTGCAGGTAACAAATGTAGCGCATATGTTTTACCGGAAACCATTTTTCCCCAACTGATTCATCTTAAAACGTTCTCACTATGCACAAGACTTGCCTATGCCCTTGGAAATTTTCTCAGACGTCGCTGATTGTGCAGCGAAAAAAATCTGTCTGATCAGAGAATGTGGATAAAGTGCATTGTGGTACAGATTCCAGGGGATACATGAACACCAGCAATTACGCTGGAATGTGTACAGAGCTTATTGCCAGAGGGGGGGGGGGGGCAAAGGGGCCCCACTTGTCTATTTTCAGGAAGGGGCTCAGCCCCTTCTTGGCAGGTGAGCTTCAGCTCGACGGCATCCGTTTAAAAAGCACTGGAGGGTATTTTTTCAGCCAATAGTGCTTTGTGCGGGGAAATTACCTCTACACATGATTTAATTGCAATTTATCAGTTGATAAGGCACCAGCAAAACAGAAATAAACAGGTATCGTCACGAAGCTGAATGCTATTCCTCGAAACACTCACACAACGTGTCGCCACCTTGCTTAACTATGCTTCTTGGCATAGCATAGTGTTTCCAGAGGCACCTGAGCGAGACGGTATACCTGCTCGTGAAGGCTCACCTTGGTCTCTATAGGTTACAAGTAAAGCTTTATCCATTTAGTTGTACATGAAGACTCTGGTGCAACGCCAAAAACTTGCATATTTTGCCTGTGTTTTTATCCAAGTACGTGTGAAAGTAAAATGTAGCATTTTCGCGTCTGAGGTTCTTAATGCAGTGAGTCAACTTATACTTTGTGTTGCAGCTAGAGTTATCTGATTTGAGCTCATGATTAATTTTCATGCTAAATTATTTTTGAAAACTTGTATCCAACAAGGCAATGTCTTTAGCACTTGGTTGGTCCGGCACATTGAATAAATCCTAGAAATAGACTCTGTCTGAATAACACATTTGTATTTATAGCACTCGAAAGCATTTCTTGTAAAACAATTCTTGTAAAAGCTGGCCTCGATACACTGTGATCGCCCCAAGGACACTTCTGCCGCTTGTGAGAGTTGTGATCAAACCAACTCTTGCAGAAAAAGCACGTCACCTACATATGTCCCTCCACGTACATGCGTGTACGTGTCAGCATCTACCTCCTATGAAAAGAAACTTTAAACCCTAAATGCGGAGGCATGCACAGGGTGTGACGTGTTGCTCCCACCAGGCCAACATAGGTCCCTGGCTTTTTCGGGAGGTAAAGGTGGGATGTAAACCATTCATAGAATAAAACATCAGGGGACCTCAGGTGCCGTCATTGTTGAAAATTTGCATGGGCATAGGCACATTTGAAGATCTGGAGTTGACTCCACATCATGGCGCTCTTCTTAGATGATTCAATACAGATACCACCCTGGCCTTCTTCATGGGCACAACTATGCCAAGATGTAAGAGATCGGTATAACTAGCCTACACTACTGCTCTATATGCATTACTAGCAACTCTGCTAGCCATTGTCACTGTACTTTCGAATGTTGATTGATTTTTTCTGAATACATGCTTCCCCCCCCCCCTTTACACACAAAGAAAGTGTTAAATCCTTAACTAGCATTTAAACCCATTAATGTCAGTATATGTACGCCACTGACCTTGTACAGAGAACCTGGGATAAACCACAGACAATGATGTACTATATCTCTGCAGGCTCGCTACCAACATGCAGTTAAGTAGTATGCATGCAATAAGCTTGTACAGAATTGACTATTAACAGTTATGGGCAATGAGGCAGTATATATATTGCATAAAATGTGGAAATGGTCAAATTGGCTTGGGGAAATTGCGCACGATATATCCACACATATACAGCATTACTACGTTTTACACGTCAAAGCCACAAACCAATGACAGGGCACCTGTGTGGTTACCGATAGTGGAACTCTTAAAATTTTTCCCCAACATCGGGATGCGGCCAAATCTCACTGCGGATGTCGCACGGACCCTTTTCGATCGCGATGGAATCGGTTGACGCGACTGCCTCTCAGGCGCACCTTGTCGCAGTCCGGAAACTTGATTCCCGTCGGACACGATGCTGCAGGTGGACCACGTGATATACGTACAGCACTCGGCACCCATGTAACGTCACACGTTCGCGTCATGAATTGTGCAAACACTTACCGCGGGCTCCTTCATCACAGGCCGAAGTTCCGTGAGGAGTGTGCCGATCAAGCCGAGAGCCGGCTTTTTGAAAGGTTGAAATGAGCCCTGAAGAAGAAAAAATGCAGGTTCTAGCAAATTCTGTCACGCGATGTACTGGCTCACGGCCCACCTGTATCTTAATTAGCGCGGGAAACTACGTACCTACAACACAATATACAGGCTAGTTTCACTTTTACTTGTGTCGACTACCACTTCTCGTGGCTGCAGAGACGAGTTCGGGTAACTTTTGCTCTACAACACAGGATGCGGGCTAGTTTCATTTTGGCCGTGATGCGGCCAGTTTCCCGCTATCGCTCGCCGTCACTCGACTTAAACGTGCGCAATCCCGGCAGGTGAGCTTTCGCCGCAAGTTTTCAACTTACCGCCGAGTTCTCATCTTTGGAGTTCATTGGCGCGACACGTTGCCGCAGGTCCGACAGCTCGTTCTGCATTATGAACGAGGTGCCCTGCGCACAGGTGGTCGTGACGAAGTCCCAGCTGCTTACGGCATTTTCGCTGCGCTGCCTAAGTGTTTGAAAGGTGTTTTGTACGCGGAGTGATTACCTTGCGCTGAAACAAATGCGCAAACTTGGCAGGTCGGTGCACAGTGTTGCCCGACTTGGTTCGCAGCTGAGCTCAAGTTCAGCGGTGCACACACAGAACGACGCCCGAAACGAATGACCTGGTGCCGACACTGCGCAGCCCTTTTTCTGTTCACCAACTAACACTGACAGATGGCAAATCGCACGTGTGAACAGTTTATGGGCCGCAAACATTTTGGCAAAACAGACCGTGAGTACGGCGCCTACGTGTCGAGCTGTGTGCTTGTTCTGTGGTCTGCTCAGTTGCATCCAAGGAGGTTCTATAGACCCTCTGGAGTGGCAGTTCCGGCCGCCGCCAACGGGAGCAAGTGAAGCCGCCGGCGGCCATATTGCTAGAGGAAAAACAGGGCGGAACTACCTTAGACCGCAATGGAATACGCGAGTTGCGTGCGTCGGTTTGCAGTTCTACGATAAAAAAAAAATGAGATGGAAACCACTTTTAGGGTTACACCAACGAATAAATGCCTCTTCTTGTTTATGGAATGAATTATTTCATGCACCCATAGTCAGCTGCACGCTTTCAGATCAATCTGTTGTCGAGGGATGCTTCGCATATCGAGCTTGATGGCTTACTATTGCGGTACAAAAGGGTAGTACTAGTATATATTGGGTGTTTTAAGAAATGTGCCTGCAGATACTCAAGATCAAGGAGAACGCGACATTCGCTCGCCTACTTTCATATATGTTTGCGTGTGTGTCGGCAGATTACCAGAGAATATATATAAGGAAGTTGAAATAATTAAAGCTAATGTTGGAAAAGAGAGGTAATTAAGTAAACTGAGAGTCACCAGTAATTTTTCTGGAGTGATCAAATTCTAACCAATTTACGGGCGGAACCAAATCCGAAGCACCCATGTCGCGTGCAACCGACAAACTCCAGGAGACATACCCCAAATGTACCGTTTATAAGAACGATTGAAGTGGCGTTAGCTATGCATAATATTTATCAACTTTCGTTGGCGACGTGTGCTGTCATGGCAAGCGCGGCCTTCAGAGCCTAGAAACGAGGTAGCTCGATGTTTGATACAAACGTCACTCACTCAGTTTGGCCACTTCGTCTATCGGCGTTTCGGTTTGGGTGTCGACGGCAAGATAGAACCGATTTCAAAGGTGTCTCATCTCGTTTTAGACGCGATTGCTTATTTTCGTGACTACATTCTATTGAACCTACGTCAAGGAGGTAGAAACTAACAGGCTTTGCAGATGCGCTCGGAAAGCAGGAAAAATCGAAGGTGCACTGCCAAGCCGCAGTCTGGTTGTCTGCGCCGTTTTGTCGAAGCAGCATTATTCGAAGTTAATAGAACAGAGGTGGTCACCGTCCGTAGCCCTCCAACTATTCCTTCGAACAGCAAGTTCCCAGGTAGAACGCTGCGCACTGTCTTTAGGAAACATGTAACACGGATAATCACGACATGGAATTATTCTCTACGTTTGCGAATTCCTCGATAACATGCACTAAATTCAATATTCACTCGCCAAAAAAACATGCATGCACGCAGTCAGTCTTTTCTTGTAAGACAACACCAGAAAACTTGAAATTCAAAGGGCATTCAGACGTCTTACTCGTTCCAATGTTTGATACCTGCAGCCATAGACCGCAAGTGCCTAGAGTCCATAAACTTAAATCTCAGGGACAACGTCGGGTCAGCGAGCATTTAAAGCTTCAAGTTACCTTCCATACAGCTATACGCATGTATTACTCGCATGCGCACCTTTGATATTGTTTCTAATTTAACAAAATACGCGAAAAAGCAGGCGATCGTCAGCGAACGAAGCGAGAATACTTACACGTGAAAAGTGATCCCAGGCGTCTTCTTGGTGCTATTTGTGCAGCCATAAGTGACGCACGGAGTCACCATGGCCTTGTAAAATCTTTAACAGCTTTACAAAAGCATGTCACAGTCTCCAAAGGCCACTGCGAGGGTGTAGCTACGAAGCGCACTTTGTCGTCGGCTTCCGAGTCCTTCCTTTTCCATTATGGCGGCGACCTGCGTCACTTATCTGGGCACACCGCCACTCCAGGAGACATATAGAACCTCCTTGGTTGGCAACGAATGGCAAGCTCGATAGATCTCTAGTGCGGACTTCTTAATCATGCCGATTCTCCACATATCAGTCTCCGTTTCCTTCACCTTCTTCTTAACCGACAGTTCTTTTTGTTTTGGCCCCATGCTCTTTTCCAAGTATTTACCCGTGAATTTTCTGGTTCGCATTTTGTATCGACATTCCTCATGTACAGTTAAGTAGCTGAAAGCCATCCTAGCCCAACGCTCCTCCCCCATTTCTCTCAATCGCTTCTCAATTTTTACCTTGCTGCTAGCTTCCCTGCACTCGAATGATGTCCATCCCATATCACCTTGTACTTCCCGCTTTCGTGTATTCCCGTGAGCTCCTAAAGCAAGCCTACTTATTCCATGCTGCTTAATTTCTAATCATGCTTGAAATTCTGATCTCATGCACAAGACTGCATTGCCGAATTCCGACCAGGAACCATGACCCCTTTCCATATTCCTCTCACATCATCATACCTATTGTAATTCCACGGTGCTCTATTTTTCATCACTGCTGCATTCCTGTTACCTTTAGTCGTTGCGTATATTTCGTGTTCCCTGAGGTGCTCGGTCCCATTACTTATCCATACGCCCAGATATTTGAAGTTATGTTATTTCTAGCGTGACCTCCTGTATCCTAAGCTCACTACCTTCGTTATCATTAAAAATCATGACTGCTCATTTTTCCTTACTGAATCTGAAATCTAACCAATCTCATTACCGCAGATGCCCATCAATCTCTGGAAATCTTCCTTGTTGGCGGCCATTAGCACTATACATGGAGGAAGGAAAACTTCCTGCTTTTTTTTTTCCTTTCTCCATGGCACGTCATCTGTGTACATCAATGCTGGTAGTACCTGTTCAATGAGTTTCCCTTGTTTGACGAAAGAGAGGTTGAAGTCAAATCCACTTCCCTCTAATTTGGTCTCGAATCCTTGTGGGTACATCGTGAATAAAAAGGGAGACAGAGGACACCCCTGCCTAAGCCCCCGTTTTACCTCTGCGGGCTTGGATACCTGTTTTTCCCACTTTATAACTACCTCGTTACTTTTATAGACATCATTTAAAAGATTAGTGACTCCATCTTCCACACCTATAGTGTGTGCAGTATTTCCCACAAGTCCTCTTGAACCACGCTATCGTACGCTCCTTTGGTATCCAAAAATGCTAGCCACATGCGCCTGTGTTCCTTTTCTGCTATTTCGATGAGCTGCGTCAGTGAGAAAAGATTGTCTTCCAACCTCTTGTGTTTCTGAAACCCATTCTGCAGGTCCCACCGCACCCCTTCACCCTCTATTCATGTCTGCAGTCTTTCCTCTATAATCTGCATCGCCAGCCTGTAGACGACTGATGTCACTGTTATGGGACGGTAGTTGTTTATGTCAGCTTTGTCCCCCTTTCCTTTATAGATCATGCTCATCCTGCTAAGTTTCTATCCATCGGGGACTTCGCCAACGATTATTATTTTGCTCCCTCCCTCTCTCAGTCTGCTTAGACTTCGGACAAAATGTCTCAATTTCTTTCAACATCAATTTCTCAATTTCTTTCAACATCATCTGTCGGTTCACCCCGCTGCTTAGCATGTCTGTGTTCTCTAAAGGCTTCCTGACGTTTTGCTATGGCTCTCGTAACTCCCGCATCCCACCAACTCTTGGGCTTGTGTCTTCTTTTCCGGGGTGACTTGTCACGTGCCTTAGCCAGCTCTATCCCAGTCTAATTAGATTTGTGTATGTACACACTGTTTCATGATCTTCAGCGATTACTTTCTCAATTTGTTTAGTAACAATTTCTATTTGCCTTTCTGAATGAAACTTTTCCTGTAGTTGTTCATCTTGTCTCCTTCCCACTTTCGAAGCTCTTCCAAAACTTAGCTCGATACGTTTGTGATCACTACCCAGACTTCTGGAGCCACATTCATCTATGTGCATTCCCCTGAGCCTATCACACATCTTATGTGACATCAGGGGTAATCTATCGTCGACTGCATCCTTCCTACCCCCCATGTTATTTGTCCTTCACACTTCGCGGTACTGTTGCAAATGATCAAATCCTGCCTTTCACACATGTCCATGGCCATTTTGCCTGTTGGGTCAGCATACCAATCTATGTCTTCATGTGCGTATTCATATCTCCTAGTATAATTACCTCGCCCTTTCCTACCAATTGATCGATGTCCTTTCATATACACTCTACCATTACCTGGTCTTCCTCTCTGGCCTTTGCTCCCGTCCACAAGTACACTAAACCAAGGAGTGTCATCTGCCCAGCTACTTTTACTCAACCATGAATGCTCCAAGCATCCCTTCTCGAGTCTTCGCCAACCTATGTAAATGCAATTCTACCCCCTTTTGCCGCCGTCTGTTCTATCGCAATATATCCACAATTCCATATACCATCACCTCCGCCTGCCTTGACTGCTCTTTACTCTTCCCAGCATGGTAATATAGTCTGATTTGGCTCGGCCCTAGTGCTTATGTGCATCGAGCTTCCTAATCCTAACAACTAGAGGGGACTCTGGGTAAATGTGTGTACTACCCATCATTCCCATGGTCGCGCCAGTCTTCATACTTGCGGGCGGCGAATCGTACTTGCAGCTTCGTTTCAGCTTTGTTTTGGAAGAAAGATTCAACCCTTGTGAACTTTGTGACCAGACTTGCAATGGTAAGTCTAAAAGAATAAGATGGTGAAGCGCAACCGCTGAACATTTGCCAATATTTGTTTCGTGAGAAAAGAGCTCCAAGCCCCACAAACACACACAGCCAGAAAGCAGGTCAGAAGTACGAATATTAGACAAATGTGTGTACTACCCATCATTCCCATGCTCACCGAAGCGCCGCGCGTTGCAGCTCCCATCGACACTAGCGCCAAAGGTCCCTCTAGTGTATATTGTGACACTTCATGCTTTCGTTTATTTCTCACGGACCCCATGTGCCCCTTTAGAAGTCTTCGGCTACACTGTTGCCCCCCCCCCCCCCCCCCCAATACTTGCCAGAAATCTGGCCACCTACCTTTCGCTCCCGGCCTCCCAAATGTTTCACGTTTCAGGCTAAGAGAATTTGATCCATTGGGCAATTCCTTTGAAACAGTCCCAGAATACAACTGCTGCGCTTGACCAACAGCCACCATGTTGTAAACCTTTGCACACAGCAGATAACAATTACGATATAGGCTTTATCCCGTGCAATCAAATATGCCATTTCATTCCACACTCAATCAGGCTCCTCATCCACCGCCTTCATGACCAAGTCGGCCACTGACACAACTGCTTGAACTTTCACAATGTTACTTCCCTCTAAGCAGGAGTCAAACCATGAACACACATGCACAGGGTACTTTTAGAACAGTTTATTGAAATAAATACCAGTTTTGTAGAATATGCAGTCAAGAAGCCACTACATCCGACTTTTGAGACTACTTTCGAAGTTAAGAATTGCGTGTTCATATCCGATCGCTGCGCTGAGAAATATTCCGCGAAGAGCACGCCAAGAATTAACTCTTGTCGCTAAATGCTTGTTCTAACACTAGGTTCAGTTTCATACAATACCTAGAGAGGAATCTGGCACTGCGATCGGCTTCGGCTTAGCAAACTGCCTACCAACCTTTCTCTAGTTTTAGTTTCGTTCGAACAGCACGAATAGTGGGGTGCGGTAAAAAGCGTTGAAGCAGTGCCTTTGTTTTAGCAGGCTGAAGACCACTAGGTCTCTTGTTTAGCTGTGATGTCCTAGCTTTAGAGTCGTATTCGACAGTTTAAACAAGGCGTCGCCCCCTCACATCTGCACCTAGTTGTAGCGTCTCATGCCAGCGCATCCCGTTTTAACTCATTTAAGTCAACTGCAAAACGGTGACGAAGTTATGTAGACGCACCGTCAGGCTTGGCTGATTCGGCTTCATGACAGAACCAGAGGTGCATTGGGGGAGACCACTTGGACAGACGCACCTAGCGTCAAAGACCAAACAAGTGTTTCTCACTTAATACTGTACTGTTATTTCCATAAATAGATAATGTGTACTTCCGAGAGAAAAACAAGCATGCTTGTTTTGAAGTGTCGTATATTTCATTAAAACTTTATGCCAAAGCTGGAACGCAATGGCAGAGCGATGCATGCATGCCCTAGTGGTCAAATTTGACCAGGTTTCCCTTGTCGCCTCGTAGCAAAAACCTTTTCCAATAAAGTTTGTGCACAAATAAATGGAGTTTCAGTGAGACAAACTCTTATCACTGTTTTACACTCTGAAAAGAAGCGTCGCAATTTTAATCTATCCTGTATCCTGAAGGAGCCCGCATAGACACTAGCGCCAGATTTCCCTCCATGTATTATTGTATGAAACTATGATTAGGTTCAACTTTTAGCACCTTCGAAGAACTACTGCCATAACTGCTAGTGGTGGTACCTGATCTTGAACATCTAGTACTAGCCAGACATTTTTCATGGTGTGCAGGATGTTTGAGCACACCCGTGTTTCCGAATCATACCCTGCAGCCACCACAGCCTGGAATCGTTCCTCACGTTCGGCAGCAGAACGCCATAGCAGTTGACCCGCCACGCCAACCCTGGAACAGATGGTGGGGGGGGGGGCACCCAAGAGTGAGGCGGGGGGGCCTACTTACCAGCAACCCCAGTGGTAGTGGACGTGTGTGTGTGTAGGAGACCTGTGAGGCAGGCTGCAAAAAGGTGGGAGGAGGGGAACATTCTGTGAGTGGCCGGACCGTTACAACCGACAGCGTACAAATGCCTCAAAGTGCGGGCGTGCGTACGACGTTCGGCGGGTCTGTTCACACGAGCGCACTCAGCAGCAGTGATTCTCGAGACGGGGTGCTTGTTGGCGACCATGGACATTTATTGAGAAGAGACGACAAACGACGCTCTAGTAAAACTGGCCCGCTCCCCTCGGGCAGCGACTGCATTCGGACGAGACATGAGGTGGTGGTAATGGTGTACACAAGAAAACAAAAATAATGGAACAGTGAGAGAGAGAGAGACGCTGGCGACCGGTCAGTGGCCAGGGTTAAGTATGGTGTGACGTGAGGAGGCGAAGGGCTCAGTCGCCCCGGTACACGCAGGCGGTCCAGCGGTCGGGCTTCGCAACGGGTCGGGCGGTCGGTGACACGCGGCGAGGTTGGCGCTAGCCGCCGCACGCTACCTCCGACCGAGCGCTAGCGTAACCGTCCCACGGGTCGTCGCTGTGGGGGAGGAGGCAAAGGCGACAAGTCACGCGCTGAGTCTTCTGTGCGCCGTGCAGCTAGTCGACGCGACAACACAAAAAAGCACAACGCGCCTCATACGCGCCTGCCGGACTTAAAGAGACAGTGCGGCGGCGCCTAGCTCACCTGTTCAGGGGGAGACCAGTGTATGGGTGCACCTTAGTAGCCACCGTAGGAGTAGCCACCCATGCGGTCCGATGATCCGTAGCCAGCACCCCAGCTGTACCTGCAAAGCGAACGAGAGCATGAAGGCGAGTGCTGATGTCCAGGGGCTCGACAACAATTCGCAGGCATTCAGAGCGTGCAAACCGAAACCTGCCTTTCAGTATTCCGCATGCACTTAACCTGCCCAACTGGGGCTACTCTTGAGATCACTCACACAGCTGCCACACGATTAGCGTAATGGCCATGCATGCAATTGAAAGAGAACGCGGCCCTAGCTGTAGTTTCGTCAAGCAAGCAGCCTCCAGCTAACGCCTCCTCTAAGAGATGCCCGCCACATCATTAATGCATAATAGCAATCATACCTAGTTCTCACTGCCACTACTGTAGCAAATGGAATTGACACGAACAATCACCAGCCTTTAACTAGGTCTACAGGAACTGAGCACAGCTTCGCCACGTAGCTGTGGTTGCTGGCAGAACCTACATTCAGGCACAGCTCTGGTAACTTGAGTAAACATATACAATAACTCCACCAATTCAGCCAACAATGATAATGATAAGCAGATTTGAGATGAATGCAGCAGGTATCCTGCTAGAGGAGGCGTTGCTCCAGCGTTAACAGAAATGCCTCAGAGCTAAGCCTTCCATGCATTCACAAAGGCACTGCCTGCCACAAGACTGGCTAAAGCGACAGTGCCCGCTGACCCTGAGGCAGGGGGAGGCGACCGGCGGCTGTAGAGGGCATAGTCTGGAGCCGGTCTCCGCTCGTACATGTCAGGTCCCATGGAAGGGGGTCCCGGTGGGCGCCGTGCATAGGGGTCGTCCCGGCGCTCGTACGGGGCTGGGTAGGGGCGTGGCCTGTCTACCATGGCCCGGTATGGGGCCCGATCATAGAAGTCACCGCCCCGGCGGTAGTCCCCATATCCACCTGGTCCGCCGTTGTAGTAGCCTCCAGAGCCTCTTCCATCGTAGCCGTTCCTCGCCATGCCTCCGCCGTAGGGTGGCCTGCTGGAAAGACCACAACAACAAAACGAAGTCAGTCTCCCACTAAAAGATAAAGAAACCAGCCAGTGGGGCGAGTTTAAATACTTACTTCATAAAGAATGCGCTGGGGAAAGAACAGACAAGAGCTACATAGATTAAAATGTGCTACCTAGAATTACGCCTCGAGCACAGCTCTCCAACAAGGTCAACACTTACAGCCACTCAGCATAGGCCGGATGATAGAAGTATGGATGCGGGCTATGGGCAAAGAGCAGCATAAGCAACTATCAATTGGCCTGCCCAAGATTCAACACAAAACATTTGTACCACAGGCCTATCGCCTCGTACATGTATTAGCATGTTGAGTAGTGCAGCAAAAACTTTGTGAAGCTGCCACTCGATCATGACGAGGAGAACATTTCGAATGGCAATGCTAGTGCTATTTTTATGCAGAAAGAGCAAGTAGAGAAACTCGGAGATGCAGCTTACCTCGGTCCTCCCTTGGCTCTGCCCGGGGCGCCAGGCTCTTGGTGGAACTTGCTTGTGGAACGCTGGCAGCAAAATTAAAAATGCACTCATTAGCAAGTTATTGTAACAGAATTTGTAACAATTGTAACATAATTCATAGCACACAGATGTAGGATCTCCAACAATTTTGTGAAAACCATGCAGAGGATTAAACAAAAATTCGTTGTAGAGACCAGCGTTATATAGCCACATCTGAAGGATGGGTGCCACAATGACAGCAGCCATCTGCAGGATGGGGCATCTCAAGCAGGAGATACAAACTACATTCCTTTCAAGAAGATAAAAGCCATCAGCAGCAAACGCCTGAGCTATTCACATTGGAGGCTTGCGAACTGTCGCAAACTCACAATTTTACATTAGAACCTCAGAACTGTAGTCAAGCAACCAGAACTTGAGTGAAATATGCCCGAACTTGTAACGCAAGTCCACCTTGCCTAAAATTACCCTTCTTAAAACAGTCAACAAAGATGCATATCACACTGTTGTACCAAGAAAATTTCATAAGGTTTAAAACTAGCAGTGGTAGCTACGCATGCAGATATATGCAATGTTTGAGAACTGGCAACTATATCATACAAGCAAGGCCGTGGATTTCAAGACTAAAACCTTGATATAATGAATGCTTTTGCAATATAGCGTAGGAAATATACCTTTATAACGAAGTTTTGGGTATAACTAATGCTTGCGTTATATTTGTAACAAAGAGGTTAGAGTATGTTGACAAATCCTCGTGGTGTGAAACCATCAAGGAAAATAGTAACTGAGGTGATATTCTACATAATGAGTCATTAAAGAATCAAAAGTAACATCTTAAATAACCCAGGCCTGCACCAAATGCGCAGCACAGTCCTAGCGAAAGCTAGAAGAGCAGCATTTCCAGATTTTATTCTAAACACTTTGGGTAACTGCTGCATGCACACTGCTGGGTACCAACTACATCACGAATGATCAATTTTTTTTGTATAATATGCCAGAATTCACTATGCTTCTCTGTGTCTTCTTTGGAAAAGCGTGGTAACTTTTACACACTTGTTGGAAATTTGGTGCAATTGTTTTATGCACTGGCTGACGAAGAATTGTGCCTAAAGAGGGTATGCGCCAGTCAATTGGTGATATAGAAAAAACTTATCTAATGGGTTGGAACATTGGACGACACACTGGCTTTTTTTATAACACTATTACTTATATAAATGTGATTTCTTTTCGACATCAAGCCTGTCGAAAGCCAGTTTAGGAAAGAGTTCAAAACACTATTACTTATATAAATGTGATTTCTTTTCCAACATCAAGCCTGTCGAAAGCCAGTTTAAGAAAGAGTTCAAAGCACTGGTGTTGGTGTGGCTCAGTGGTATAATACTGGGCTGGCACATAGCAGACCTGGGTTCGAATCCCATTGTTTCATTGACCAACGCTGGTTACGAACTACAGTACCACGCGTGACCCATGTTCCATTCTCATAACAGCTTTCGCTGAAAAAAAGGGAGCAAGCGAACCTCTCACCTCAACCGACAGTGTAGAGCCCATGAAGTTGTAGTTGTTCAGGTTCTTGAGGGCCTCCTCCGCCTCTTCTTCTGTGGACATGTGCTGCACGAATCATGCACCAGAAAAGGGGCACACCACGGTGCGCTCGTTAACACTGTCCCAGAGCACCGTTCTGCCTCGGCCGAGGGAAGAGTGCGCAGCCAAGGGGGAGGGCAGAACGCATGCAAGCAGGCAAAACTCACCACAAAACCATACTTATTGATGACATCACACTCTGTCACTGTGCCATACTTGGAGAAGAGCTCTGACAGTTCCTCTGTGCGGAGTCCGTCTGGCAAGTGGCCCACAAAGAGCTTTGTTTTCTGAAATTAAAATTGGGGGACCCATAAGCGATATCCTGTCCAAAGTGCATACTTCCAACACTTAGTAGCATGAAATCTTTTCGAACTTGCTACGCGTCCCACTATGTGGCTTTAATAGAATAGGCACGATGACATGTGTGCCTTTTATAGTGGGTGACCAGCTGTAAACCACTAAGACAACATGATAATCGTATGTTCTGATGCCCAATAGCAATGTACACTTGTGCCACACATTATTACTGTGAGGCATGTATGCACGATGCGTGTAATTTTAAAGTGCGAAAGTTACTTTCACTGTATGACCAAGCAGAGGAAGTTTTTTCACCGTACTGCCTAGCAGACGCAAGGCTGTGTGGTAGAACACCCACTTGCCACACACACGACCCAGGTTCGACCAGACCGTTTGTAAAACTTAATACATTGTATTTTGTTTGCATCTCCTGATTTTTCGCCAGCTACCGACGCCATTACCGAAGCCAGAATTTCTGCAAAAACAAGTGTTTTAATGCTGTCACATGAAAATCAAAAGATGTGGGTGCTCATGCCCATCCCCTTCAGAAGAGTGGTGCAACATTAATGTTGAATGACCGGGGCTACCATCTTTGTTTTTACATGAGTCACTATTCCCTAGAAACAATGCAATCAACTAGCTCTGCATTACCACCAAAGTTATTCTGTGTCCTCATTTGTGATGCAAGTTGGCAGGGGCTATCGTGACCAACCAGCTAGCCTACCAGTAATGCTTTGGGCAATTCTACATAGCTGGTTCCACAGCATTATACAAATTGCCTCATGAGAGGCCATATTCAGAGAAATGTGCCAACATGGCAAAACAAACTTCATACATATCCTGTGAAGGGGGCCAAAACACAACGCATGGTGGCATTAAAAAACTTGGATATGGAGACGTGTTGGTGCACACACATGACTTGTCTGATATATTGCCCGTTACTTTATGAGAACTGCAGAACTGTTATTGTGCCACAATAAAACTACACTATAGAATATTGACCGTCGCTTCAGGAGTACCAACTGCAAAACTAATATTTCACTAAAAAAAAAAAAAAAAAAAAAACTGCCCCACAATGTTCCCCCCTTCCCCCTTCTTTCAAAGGTGCCTGCTTCAGCGCAATTTCAACCCGACACACATTCATCACACTACCCAACATCATGCGCTTGAAAAAATACATTCAAAGCAATGCACCGTGCTGCATCGTTTTGAAATGCCGGCAATTAGCTCGAACATGCCTCGTAAGATGGTACAATGAAGAGCGCAGATTGTAGCGACTGTTTTGTGTTCATACATGAGGAACAATTAGAACACCGTAAAATTACGAGTTGGCACTGCAATCGCGGTATCCGCGATTGCAGCGCAGATAATAATTGACGGTGAAGTTCCCGATGGATGGAAACTTAGCAGGATGAGCACGATCAATAAAGGAAAGGGGAACAAAGCTGACAAACAACTACCGTCCTATAACAGTGACATCAGTGGTCTACAGGCTGGCGATGCAGATTATAAAGGAAAGACTGCAGGCATGGATAGAGGATGAAGGGGTGGTGGGGGAACGGCAGAATGGGTTTCGGAAACACAGGAGGTTGGAAGACAATCTGTTCTCACTGACACAGTGCATCGAAATAGCAGAAAAGGAACACAGGCTCCTGTGGCTAGCATTTTTGGATATCAAGGGAGCGTACCGATAGCGTGGTTCAAGAGGAATTGTGGGGAATACTGGACACACTGCGTGGAACATGTAGTCACTAATCTTTTAAAGGATATCTATAAACGTAACAAGGCAGTTATAAAGTGGGAAAAAACGGTATCCAAGCCTGCAGAGGTAAAACGGGGGCTTAAGCAAGGGTGTCCCCTGTCACCCTTATTATTCATGATGTACCTACAAGGATTAGAGGCAAAATTAGAGGGAAGTGGACTGGGCTTCAACCTCTCTTTAGTCAAACAAGGAAAACTCATTGAACAGGCACGACCAGCATTGATGTACGCAGATGATATAGTGCTAATAATGACCGACAACAAAGAAGATTTGCAGAGATTGGCGGACATCTACAGTAATGAGGGAGATAGGTTAGATTTCAGATTCAGTAAGGAAAAATCAGCAGTCATTATTTTTAATGATAATAAAGGTAGTGAGCTTAGAATACAGGAGGTCATGCTAGAGATAACAGATAAATACAAATATCTGGGCGTATGGATAAGCAATGGGACCGAGTATCTGAGGGAACACGAAATATACGTGACGACTAAAGGTAACAGGAATGCAGCAGTCATGAAAAATAGGGCACTGTGGAATTACAATAAGTATGATGTGAGAGGAATATGGAAAGGAGTCATGGTTCTGCATGGGCTGACGTTCGGCAATGCGGTCTTGTGCATGAGGTTAGAAGTTCAAGCAAGATTAGAAATTAAGCAACGTGGAATAGGTAGGCTTGCCTTAGGAGCTCACGGGAATACACCAAATCAGGGAGTACAAGGTGATATGGGATGGACATCGTTTGAGGGCAGGGAAGCTAGCAGCAAGATAAAATTTGAGAAGCGATTGAAAGAAATGAGGGAGGAGCGTTGGGCTAGGAAGGTTTTCAGCTACTTGTACATGAAGAATGTCGATACAAAATGGAGAAAGCGAACCAGAAAATTGACTGGTAAATAGTTAGAAAACAGCAGGGGGCAAAACCGAAGAGAATTATCGGTTAAGAAGAAGGTGAAGGAAGCCGAGACCTATATGTGGAGAATTGGCATAATTAAGAAGTCTGTGCCAGAGAACTATCGAACTTTTAAGCAGAAAATTGCCAAAGAAAAATTTTATGATAATACTCAGGGTAGTTCTCTACTGTTTGAGGCCAGAACGGGAGTATTGCGAACCAAGACATATCGGGCCAAATAGGAAGGGGTAGACACGGTAGGCAGTGCGTGTGGAGAGGAAGAAGAAACTGCGGAACACTTGATAATGTTCTGTAAAGGGCTGCACGCTATAGTTCAGGATGATGGCGCAGAGTTTTTCAAAGCACTGGGGTTTAGGGACAGGGAGGGCAAATAGACTAAGCAGGTAGAATTAACTAGAAGGAGGTTATCTGATTGGTGGCTAAAGTCAAGGCACGAGTGAAAATTAAACCCTTCACTGCAAAGCACGAATCCTCAACCTCACTACCTAAAGGAAAAAAAGAAATCTAGGTTTTGGTTCATCAAGTATTACGGCATGGTGGCACTAGCCACCGCCCGATCAAAAGGGCACAGCCATATCCATCCATCCGCGAGCGCGCCAAACTACATTCTTAGACGCGCATGCGCCGTGCAAGGTAAATGCACGAGAACACATATGCCGCAGTAGGACATTCGCAAAATGATCCCTATGAAGTCAGAGTTACAGCCTACAATCAATTCCTAGTAATTGAACTTGGCGCGCATGCGCCGGGCAAAGCCGGTATTTATATTTAATTCGTCAGAGGGCGCCAAAAACGCAGCTCGGCACGCAGATGGTGCCAAATCATCGCAATGACTAATGTATGGAATTATGCGCCACGCTCACACATCGGAATCGCTACGGGTAAACTCACTGCGCTGTTAACAAAAACTTGCAATGAACCTCTACAGGTAACCTTCAAGACACCAAAGACTAGCAGAAACCCTGCCCATAGTCAAACTCACGAGAACTCTGACACCAGAGAGAAATCAGGCTTCCAATTGCGAAGATCAATGGTTAGGCAAAAGCGCCAACTATACTGCGAGTGTCAGGCCACAAGCAAGGTCACTGGAGGCAACGAATGTTCGTAGAACAGGGCGATAAAACCACGTCTTGCGGCGCACAATTTAAATTCCAAGCGCACCACGCCAAGAAAAAAAAAAAATACGCAGCGTTTCAAACCGATGAGTTACGCACATTCCGAAATGGCAACAACCACGCCAATCTCACACCACTCCTCCCGTTTGACTCGTGGCGCGACTAACTGGTTCAGGGCTAGCAGCGGCTAACAAAGGATGAAAGGGGAAAAAAATGCGCAAGGCACTTACCGGCGCCATGCTGAAACACCGCTGATGGGCGGTAACACCTGCAAAGAGACAAGAAAGGGCGTATGAAACATGCACTGGCTTCCGAAGGCTACCGCAGAAAAATCACCTCGCAGAATGAAGGACTAACACTTAAAATTTATAGGTAGAGCGAGGAACATGCCGGCAATTCAACGAGGCCTAGCAAACACGCCCGCGTCACGCCGGCTCTGAAGGCCAAACGGTAACAGCAGCAAACGTAACTACTCTCAGAGTGCGGCCCGCAACAGTGCTGCAGGCAGGGCAACTAACGTCAACAAAAAAATCACTCGCTTCCTTTTTTGCTTCTCTTCCGCAACAACCAACCGGCGGGGACCGCGCACTTCGCTTAGGCTTAGCAACAATAGATTGCGTCAACCGTTCGCAGTAAGCCGGTGCGAGAATTCGCGCATTTGCGAGACTTTAGTCCGATCAACAACACGATCCTTCGCATTGCAGGTGTCGAAGGAACCCGAAAACCTCGACTCACCAGGTTAGAAGTGAGGTTCCACTCGGTCACAAGGCACCCAACAGCACGAGCCAAGCGACGACGCAGCAACCACCTACAGGCTTGGCGCGTAAAATGGCGTTGTTTCTCGACAGCCTTCCCACAGAACACCTTCTTCCTCCTCCTCCGTGCCTCTCCTTTCCTTCCTCCGGGTTTCCCGAGCAAAAAAAATTTCCTATCCCACAATGCACTCCGCGTATGCAGTTTGCAGCGGCTTGTTTATAAACCAGTAGAGCAATGAAAGCAGTTGCCCACTGCAATGTTTTCTTGTTTTTTTTTAATATTCCGTCTTTAATTTATCAAATTGAGCTATATACGTAACTATATTTGGTATATCTTAACGACTGCACTACATTTAGTTTTGTAATTGGATCAGTTTAGTGAAAATTGCTTTCGTCGTGAAAATAAATGTATTGATGCTGATGTGTACGCAAGCGCCCTCTATAAAACACTTTGTAGTAAAAAGCAAAAACATTTGGGGCGCACAGTATTGTTACTTGTGCTAACATAGTGGTGCAAGTTTAACATATACGTGAGTTAAATTATGTTCACTTGCCAACAGATTACGTAGATTCATGTACGCATGTTGTCATCACATGGTCGTAGTCATGGCTGCCTGCTGTGTTTCTGCATTTTTTCGTCACTGGTGTGCGCGTGACTTTCGCCGTGCAGTGCGTAGAAGTGGCATCGCAAAAACTTTGTCACGTGTTAAGCAATATCGAGTTTCCTCCACACTGTCACTACACATGTAGTTATCGCGACCGGTAACAGTTACACGGACACATTCGCTTCGAAAGACCGTGCAACGCGGCGATAGGGCCGAGGCATGGCTTTCACTTGCAGACGCCTTTTCAGCGGCCACTCGCTCAAGCGCGCATACCTGACACTTTCCAAAGCCTGCAGCCATGCATCGAACCCAGCCGCTACGACCTCTCGAGGCTGCGACACCGGGATATTGCTTTACGACCCCATCACCCGCGAAAAGAGGCGGTTCGTGGTGGATACGCCGGGCGTGGTTAAGTGGTACTCGTGCGGTCCCACGGTGTACGACTGTACGCACGTGGGTCACGCCTGCTCCTACATCCGCGCCGACATCGTGAGACGGATCCTGAGTCGATTCTTCGATCTGGACGTCGTCCTGCTGATGGGCATCACGGACGTCGACGACAAGATCATCAATCGCGCCCGCGACCTGGGCGTCACTTACGAAACGCACGCGCGAAAGTACGAACGCGAGTTCCGCGAGGACCTGGCAAAGCTGGGTGTCCTGCCGCCGACCCTGTTCCTGCGCGTCAGCGAACACATCGACGCCATCGTGGCGTTCTGCTCCGCGCTCAATGACAAAGGGTTCGCCTACGCAGCGCCGGACGGCTCGCTTCTACTTCGAGCTTGCCAAGTGCCCCCAGTACGCCGTGTTCCGCACGCCCGGAAACGTGGGAGACGAAGACGCCAAGGCGATCGGCAAGAGGGACGTCCGAGACTTCGCCCTGTGGAAAGGGGCGAAGCCCGGAGAGCCGTGCTGGGAGGCGCCCTGGGGTTCCGGTCGTCCCGGCTGGCACGTCGAATGCTCCGCCATGGCAAGCACCGTGTTCGGACCTTCCCTCGACGTCCACTCCGGTGGCAGGGACCTGGCATTCCCGCACCACTGAGAACGAACTGGCGCAGAGCCGCTGCTACCACGGCGTGCCCGGGTGGGTCAACCACTTGGCTTCACACTGGACAAGTGCACGTCTGTGGCCCTGACGGCAAGCCCATAAAGATGGCCAAGTCCCAGGGCAACGCCATGCCTCTTCGAGAGTTCCTCGAGAACCACTCGGCCAACGTGTTTCGGATGTTCTGTCTGCAGAAGGCTTACAGGGCAGACATACTCCTCTCTCCAGACATGCTTCAAGGTGCCGAGAACTCCATTCAAGGTTTAAACGATTTTTGTGGGAACGCCAGTGCCTACGTTCGGGGACAGGTTCCCACGGCTAGTATAGTGGCTAGGGACTTGTACGTTCTTCTGGACCAAACGAGGTCCAATCTTCGGGATGCTTTTGCAGACGATCTGGACTATCCCAAAGGCAGTGTCGTCCGTGTTGCACCTTAGTTCGCACATCAATGCAAAGCTTCAGGCACAGTCGAAAAACATAGGAAACTTCAGTCATAACGATGTGGGCAGAGCCTGCAGTGGCAGCCTGCCTAGAATTCGTCACCGACTTCTTCCACAATCTCGGCCTAGAATTGGCTGCATCTCAGACTTATAGTGTTGAAAATTCGTCGACATTGGTTCGTGTGTTGGACGACACGGTGTCGTTTAGGACGACAGTGCGAAACCACGCCATGCAAATTAAGGACAAAACTGCTCCTGCAAGCTTGTGATGTGCTAAGGGACCAGCTGGAAAGCGAAGGCGTCAGAATTAAGGACAGGAAAACGAATTCCACGTGGGAGTTTGTTGACCGGGCGACAATAAAGACGGGAGACAAGTGATGTGGGCTAAACATCATTATTGGAATACCTCAGTCACACTGGCAAGTTTGGTGTCGTTTTGAGCAAGTACTCACACCTCCAGAATGTCACTTTGGTGGTGCGCAGCTACATGAGAAAGGCAGATGTACCATGGAAATGATAGTAATGGCAATGGGTACTTAATAAGCCCAGTAGATATTCATTATTTAAGGCAATGTCTTTTAAGTAATAATGTGTTATAGCTATAAGGAGCTATTATAATAAATTTTAGGTAGCAAACAGGCACTAGCGACCATTGCACGGTATTTGCCGAGCACCATCGAGGCACACCTGGTTCTCTCTTGTAACAGAGAGCACCGAGAGAAGAAAGATGAAAAGCATTCTGTAACTAGAAATGACGGATGTTCGCCATGAATATTTTTGTGAACTCGTGGAACGTACATGAATATTTACCATTATTTGATTAAAGAATCAGTCTAACGTTGCCAGATCACGAGGATAAGAAATTATTGACTGTATATATATCACCATAAATCTGAAATCTGCTTAGTAATACATTTGTTTCGGCGTTTTCACTATGGCTAACAGTGAAATACAAAGTGCGAAAGCTGAGACATAGCAACACAGATAATTGTTAACTCACGAATTCAAAATATGCATTCTGGTAGCACTCTCCTCTTGCCTGTCCGAGGTGCTGGGTAAATTGGAATTTCCTCTATCTAGACTCCATTGAAACTGCTCATACTGACATCAGTGCACATTTTAACAATGAATAATGTAATAACAATGTTATTTTTGAGTCGGATGCAAGTTCGTCGCAGTGAAGTTCGACTGTATCGGAGCAAACATGTTTTTATTGAAATAAAAAAAAAATTACGAAAAAGCGTCACCATTGCTTGGCAACGGCAACCCCATTCCACTCATCATCCTCATGACATGCCGCATGCAGCAGAACTCGTGAAGGGCACTAACCGGTTGGCTCCTTGAGATGAAAGTGAATGTCACTGACAGAGCCATTGTGGCCAGGCAGCTAGTAAATCGCGCAGCTCTCCCATACATACATCTCGGCTGCGTTTAGCCAAGTGAGCTTTAACTTTGCTCTAATCTGGAGATTATTTATTTATTTTATTTACAAAATACTGCAGACCCATTTAAGGGCCCCAGCAGGAGGGGCAAAGATCATAACATTGCACACAGGTGTAAACAGCAAGAACAAAAAAGATACATCATATACAAAAGATACAAAAACATAGGTTATGGTTCAATACGCTCAAGTGCCTCTACAGAGCTGGTTAACGATTGAGGTGGGCAGTTCCAGTCGTTTATGGTTCGAGGAATGAACGAGTATTTGAAAATGTTTGTTCTGGCGAAATACGGTGTTAATGAATGAGTTTGTCGATGCCGGGTTTGTCTTGTCGTAAGCAGTTTCAGATACATATCACGGTTTACTGACAGCTTGTTGTTATTTAAAAGAAAAATAAATTTGAGCCTGTGAATTTTACGATGTTTTTCAAGTGTGGGTATACTGTTTTCTTTCATAAGGTTTGTGGGGGAATCAGTTTTTCGGTACTTGGAGTAAATAAAACGTACCGCTTTGCGTTGGATTAGTTCGAGAGCCTCAATGTTTCTTTTTGTGTATGGGTCCCAGACGATTGAGGCATATTTCAATGAGGGGCGTATAACAGTCAAATAAGTTAGTTTTTTTTACAGTAGAAGGAGCATGCTTTAGTTTGTGTCTCAAAAGACCAAGTTTATGGAAAGACGATGCGCAAATATTAGAGGTGTGCTTATTTTAGCTGAGGTCGTTTGTTAGAGTGACACCAAGGTATTTATACTCAACAACCTCAGCTAGTGTCCGGGTACCGGATTGATATGTAAATGGTAAAATATTTTTTTTGTTGGTTACTCGCATGAAGACGGTTTTGTCTGTGTTTAACCTCATCTCCCATTGCTCGCACCATGCAAAGATATTTTGGAGGTTAGTGCTTAGCAAGACCTGGTCGTCATAGGAAGTTATTTCATTAAACAGCACACAATCATCAGCAAACAGTCTGATCTGAATCGGCAAAGAAACAGTATCAACAATGTTATTAATATAAATTAAAAATAATAAAGGCCCAAGTACACTCCCTTGGGGAACCCCAGAAGTTACAGGGAGCGGGTCAGAGCAATTACTGGCAATGCTTACAAACTGAACGCGGTCAGACAAATAGGAAGAAATCCAGGAAATTATAAATTCTGGAAGGCCAATCGATTCCAGTTTTTGAATAAGCTTATTATGAGGAACAAGATCGAATGCCTTCGTGAAATCCAAGAAGATGACATCAACTTGACCTGCCTTATCTAAAATTTGTGAAAAACTGTGCACAACAGAAATTAACTGAGTTTCTGTGGAAAACCCTTTCCTGAAACCATGCTGAACATCCGCAGGTATGTTGTTTTCATTAAGAAACGTTATAATAAATTTAGCTATGATATGTTCAAGCACTTTGCAAAACGAAAACGTTATAGAAATTGGACGATAGTTTGGCACCAAATCTATATCACCTTTTTTGTGCACTGGAGCAATGCGTCTCACTTTCCAGTCACGAGGCAAGCGGCCGGAACGGATGGAAACGCGGAAAATGATTATAAGGAATTCCAATAGCATCTCGGCACATAGACGTAAAAAAGTGTTGGGAATTAGGTCAGGACCGGTTGAAGTTTTAGTTTTCAAATTCAGGAGCAACGAAACAATACCGGGTAAATATAAAAATATCTGGAACGTCGTCATTACTTCGAGAAAATTGGTGCAGTGGCTTGTTAGAGGCAGAAAAACGTTATAGAAGTACAAATTGAAATGATTGGCAATAGTTTTCTTGTCGACAATAGTTTCTCCTTCATGTGTTATTTGTTCAACACATTTGGTCTTTTTGCTCAAAAAGTTCCAAAATTTTTGTGGGGCAGACGTAATAAAGTTAGGTAGAGTATCCTGAAAGTATCTAAACTTAGCTATCCTCACAGCCTCGTTCAGTGTGTCCTGGGCAGAAAGAGTAATATTGCGTGGAGCACCCTTGCGTTTAAGCCGCTTTAGTTTCCTTTTCATGTGCAAGACATCTCGCGTGATCCAAAGATTTGATTAGCGTGTTTTTTTTACTTTGCTAGGAATAATGTTATCTAGATAATGCAGGCATATTTCTTTGAATTTGTTCCACAATACTGCAGGGTCAGTTCCTTGAAAGCTGCTGAGGGAAAGATCGAGGTGGTCCAGAACATTCTCGTCATTTGTACGCGAAAAGTCTTTCGCAGTAATTGATTTGGCATGGCGCGTAGCGCAAACAGCCTGCATGGCACAAGAAAAATAAACCATGTAGTGATCAGAAAGGCCAGGGTCGACCGATATGGAAAAAATTTCAATCGATCTCGTTATAAAAACCAGGTCAAGCAAGGATGCACTTGCGCTATGCACCCGTGTCGGTTGGGTAACAATTTTTTGCATGTTTTGGCTTATCATAATATCAAAGAGGTACAATGCATGCTCATAGTTTCTTGTGTTCAGAAAAGGAGAGCTCCAATCTATTCCTGAAGATGAAGAACACCACAGCAGGTTCTGTGAAAATGGTTTCAGAGTTGCGCAGCTTTATTATTTATAGGGGCCCCGCAATACGAGCATAGTCAGAAAACACTGCAAACCCGTAGTCGAGGCTCCAGAAAACATGCGAGCCATATATTATAGCGCAGCATGCCGCCTGTAGTTTACGATAAATTCTCAGTCAGCTGAAAATTGTTTTCTTTTCTCTCGATAGTCGACGCTGCAAAAATCAACTCGCCACAGCCATTGTGTCAGTTGATTTGAGCATGGCACGCTCGGTTACAGGTGCCGCCGCAGGTCGCCGCGACTTGTCCATGTGTGTGCTTGCAATCACGCCGAAAAGAAGAAAAAAAAGAGAAAGTGCTCTAGGTTCGCGAGGCGCACGTAATGTATTTTCTTTCCCTGTGCCATCCCTCCTTGCTTAGCTTCCCGTGCTTTTGTCAGGTCGAGAGAAGAGAGAGTGCAATTGCAGCGTGCGACAAATATTTGTAACTCTGCTCATACTGGATGGATCCGGAAAATTTTTGTGGCGGTGAATTCGTAAGGCAATCACTCTCATTTAGTGACTACATTTCGTAGTTATTTGAAAAAGTGTTGCAGGGCCCTTTTAAGTTATAATAAAGTCCAATAACAAATTAGATGAGAGTGAAAGCTCAATGTATGTCTAAAACGACAATATTATCAACAGCAGTGCCCTAATAATAGAGAAATTAAGGTAAATGCACGAGAACACATATGTCGCAGTAGGACATTCGCAAAATGATGCCTATGAAGTCAAAGTTACAGCCACAATTAATCCCTTGTAATTGAACTAGCTGCACTAAATAAAGAACATTACGTGCATCAAAAGACGTCATAAAATGCTGCTTGTTCATTTCTCTTTGATTCATTGAAGAAAGAACTGCCAGACGTTACTATGGGGAATGGCACGAGTGGTTCAAAACTTCCATTTTTGCCTGGTTAAACTGGACAGGCTGTGCCATCTCGGAGTCAATGGCAAGATTCTGTTCAATGGTCTTTGTTGCTGCTGTGGCTCCCGCTGCTTTTGTTCTGGTGCTATTAGTGTTGGCGGCCGTGCAGAAGCAGGCCACGTTGCGCACGGCAACAGTGACGAGAGACGTTCTGCTTGAGGCGGGTAACGAAGTGAACTAACCCTATGTGGACCACTGAAATGAGATTTTAATTCAAAATAGGCATTAAAATCAACCTGCTTTCAGTCAGCAGTTCCGAAATATTAGGATGCTTCTGCCCGTGAATAAGCAACTATGACCCTGTCTTGCACGACCATCTGGCACAGTACGGCTCGTTCTTCCTCTGTCTACTCAGCTTTTGCCTCCTCTAAAGGACCGCTTGCCACCTATTCCACGCAGCTTCTATTAACATGTGTTGTCAATCGAGTTTGGGTGGTTCGTGTTGAACTATGTGGTAACGTTCAGGGCAGCAGTGCCAT